CTGGAACAATAAAATCCTTATAATAAGACTATCTCAATCAGATACCAGATGCTGTATACCAACCTATGATCAGACTACCAAGAATGAAAAAATGCGGAGCATATCCAAAGAACGAAAGAAATGGCAGCAGAATTTCAGTGTTTGATCCCATCCTTGCCAAACTTATAGACATCAGAATGGCAAGAGTTCTGAAAAATATCAAGGAATTATTAATTCTCTTCTTCTCATTTGAAATATTGAGAATTTAAGTTTGTCAGCAGATTTGCGACACTTATATGCCATTTTCACAGATATTCTAAATAAAATACAAAATAGCTACACCCAAAATGCCACATTGATAATTAGATAAACTTCTATAGGTAACTATCTCGGCAACTATGAGCTGTACCATTGAGATATGCTATATAAAAACATAGAAAAATACTCAGATGCGCGTACCTTACTGTGGTTGGGAAAATTTCTATTATAGTTGCTAATACCAAACTGTTACAGACGTTTTCAAATGCAACTAACAATGATACGAGAACCAGAACTGGTACCATACAAGAAGAAAAATACGACAAACAGCAGCTCATTCCAGCGATGGCTGTAAGAATAACTAAAACAGAAAGAGATATTTATCTACTCACTGCATCGAAAGTAAGAGTTTGCTTCCTCATTTATAGCCACAAACCTGTCTTTTCACTCCCACGAGAGGAAACAAAAATATTACCTCCTGTGGGAAGTAAAATAAATTGGCTTCAGTTTGCTTCCTTGGTAGAGATGAGATTTATGTTACGTTAGTACCTGAGCAGTGTCTCTATCACTACTATAAAACAAATAACGATTTCATTTTTGAGCTCCAATGATACACTTCCTCATATTCTAAACTTACTCAAACGAAACCTCACTTTGAATGAAATGCAGTTATACAATAATAAACAAATTCAATGTGACCGAAGTCAAATTGATGTTCGTTTGGATCCAGACTCGAGAGAAGCATGAAGCAACATTATATGCGTTCGTGGATAAAATCATATACAGGGTGTTTCAGATTTAAATGTTCATACGATACCTGTAGATAGAGGACACTTTGATGATTCCAAATCCAAATCCTGTCTTTTATAACTGGGATACAGGACGTTATCTTGATTTTGGCAAAATATTCATCTGGTCATAACTATTGAACCACTTTGTATAATCATATTCCACTTATATCACCCATCAAAACTAAATGAAAAGCGGGATCAGAAACCAGGTCCGTCTTGAGAAAAAAAAGGAAACTTCTTTAATGTCAAAAAAACACTATGTATGGCAAAATTTTGTAAATCTATTTCGATATTTTAAAAGAGCGGGAGTGACCCACTTTTAACTAGCGCGCATCCGATTTCACAGATGTTTTATTGTTATTTTTTGAGAATAATAGTCTTCAAAGTTCAACATCATGAGAGTCGAATTTGGTGAACTATCGATAGATTTGATCATTTGGCAGAATACCTTTTCTTTGGTTTCAGACATTTTTCGGGGATCATTTTATTATTTACTATCAATTCATGATCTGCGGTAAAGTAGGCTGTGCAAAAAAATCTGATATCCTGACAACAGTTCATAATCCCTACTGTGATATTATTGGTAACGTTAAGATAATTGTTGGTGCTTGTATTGGGTTGTTATATGAGTGGAATATTTCTACCAAGTATGAATAGATTATACAAAGTGATACAAACATTATTACCAGATGCAGATTTTGCCAAAAAAAAAAAGAGTTATGAATTACGGTAGACCCATCAATAGGGGGTGATTTGAAACCATTGAAGTGTCCTCTATCTGCAAGTATCGTATATACATTTAAGTCTGAAACACCCTGTATATATCTTGGGAGCAAAGGTTCATTTCCTCCCATGAGTGTTTAATGCCCTATCAAACTTCACACGCGGGAGGCAATGGATATCTCTGCTCCCTTGATATATAAATAGCTATTAAATACCTAAATTTTATGAAAATACCATCAAGAATGCTCACTTACTCAACATCTTCTTTTTAGAACAACATTGTGATACTGCGCCAGTCAGTAAATATAGAGCCAAACTGACGAATAATATGACAACATAATTATTTCTAACGAACGATGTATCCGCTTCCTGAAAAAATATCTGTTCAAGTTTCTTATTCGATAAGTTGTAAAATAGTATTTTCAATGATTTTGTAGACACTCACAGTTCCATCAGTGTGAATAGTATTTCTAAAGTAAAATACATCTAATATAGTGCACACATTAGCACTAGTACCATTACTGTTCACCTTTTCAATAACTTGAGATATTTCAGGTATCCACAACTTTACAGTATTTGAACTGAAAAATAAATGCAGAAGTCAACACAAAGATATCATAAATTAGGTAGTCTAAAGTATCGTACCTTTGTAAAATTAGTAATTGGATGAAACAAATCAGTACGAATTTCCCAAAATATCTTTTAGATACCAGTGGTTTGAGTCGAAGGAAATTTTCTCTAATTGCTGGAAATTCGAAACAGCTTCCTGAATATTTATTCTTGTTATGTTCTCTTTCCTCTACCAATACATCGACCTGAAATAATTTCCAAAGTTTGCTAACCTTCCTGAATGTTCAAAATATAATTTACAGGAAATGTTTTTGAAGATTTTCCAGTGTTCATCCTGTATATCATTCTGAAAACAAACATCGCCTGCACGTTTTCTCCGATTGCCATTAAATATTTCGGACTCTCAGGAAGGCAATAAAAAATTATTCCAGTGATGAATCCAAATGAACCGCATATCAGTGAGTACACAGTTTCCGAATTCCACTCTAAAAAATAGTATGATATGGTACATACAGGGTGTTCCATCTCAGATAAGCACCCTGTATATTTCTTATCCCTAGTGAGTGGAAAAATTTTGCGAAATACGTCGAATGAATTTGTTTGGACTGTATTATTGTATGGAAGTCAATGGAGGACAGTTTGAACATTTGATTTAAACACGCAGATTTGATTTTTTTGATTGTAAGCACGATAAACCGATTCAATTTTTTCACGAATGTGATTTTTTGAAGATTGTTTAGTTTGTGGCAAGGACTTCATAAAACTAGGCTTGTACATTGTGAAAATAACCAGAGTGGCTCATTCGAGCTACAAAATTGATTTTTGGCGAAAACGGTTCATCAATTTCACGTTTCTCATACAACGTTGTAAAGAGGCTTCCAAGACCTTTCAAATGAAGTATCACTCGACCCCTCTCTCCTATTCAAGTTTGAGGGGTTGAAACGTCCCCTATTAGGGGGTTGCTCGTTCAAGCCTTAAATATACGTCAAAAGATGTCCCCCAAACAAAATCATTCGACGTGTTTCGTTAAATGTTTCCACTAACTATGGGATAAGCAATACACGGGGTGGCTCGTCTGAGATGGAAGACGCTGTATAAGGGATGGAATTATTGTGTGTCATCATGGTCATACCTATACCTATAAATCCATAGGAGGGGGATTGAACCCAGGTTGATGGTAAAATTTCTAAGGTTATCAACGGAAACAGTATTACACCAACATTTACGAAAATTCCATACGCCAAAATGATGATGGTTCTGTATTTCGAACTGTGGAATTCGCTGAGATAAGTTGCCATTGCTGCTTGCGAAGCACTCATTCTGAAATTCATGCAAAAATATTACAAAATACCACTCGCACTTCCAATTAGTTCTGGAAAAACTCACGTGAATTCTCCCAAGAATTTACAGGTTATCACTAGGTCCTTGTTTTTAATCAAAATACTGGCAAAAACAAAAAAAGAAGAGAGGAAGTATCCAATCATCAACAGTTTTTTCCTACCAAAAGTGTCTGTTAAGAATCCCCAGATGAATGCACTACATATCATGCCTAAAAACATATAACAACATAATATTTCTGAGTAGAATGAAAGATCCAATATTTTTTCAAATGTGTACATTGACATGGATTGAGAAGCTAAAAGGATTGCAACATACTCAAAAAATGTTACATACCAACGTAAAAGATAGATTTCAAATAGCTTGTTTGTTCTTCCTGGAAATTTTGCTCATTATCCTTAGTAGGAATGAACATATAGTACATAGTAGAATGTTCGAAAATAGTGGACCAAATACCACATGTAGATAGTACTATCAATAAAACGTTGAATATGCCGAATCCAGTCTCATTTATTGCTTCTTCAAACGTGCCTAAAACATTAGGTACCAATGATCAGAAAAACATCAACTTATACGTATATTGAAATTATTTTGAATGAATATTACAAACACCAATAAAATCAGAAATTTCTAGAATCGATAGAGAAATCACCTGCCCTTTGACTATTGTAATGAAATTTACTTACTTTTTCTTCCACCCAAATTTTTTTTCTTTGTAAAAGTCGCAAAGATGTCGAGAAAGGGTCCTACCCCATCATCAGTCATCATTTTAATTCAATGTATGTATGTATGTATGTACCTACACCTGGAGTGCACATTATAATGTTTCAAAACAATTAAAAAATATATCAACTTCGATGAATGCAGATATGGAGTGTGAGAAAAACATATTTGTTTAATGAACTGTCTCATCAGAACAAATATTTTCGGGAAATTTTTCGTATTTATTATAGACTGATTATTATTTTATTCAATATCAAAGGCTGGCAGTTTCAGAATAGAGATATCTTTAAAAACATAATTCATTTATTATATGTATAGGTAGTTCCAGAACAAGATCATTCCTAAACAACTCCTTGAGCAGGTTAGTTTGAATATTTGACAGTTTGAACTGATACAAGTTGTCCTTTTTTCAATAATTTTTTTATGAGGAATTGAAAATACTTCAGTAAGTCATAATATATAATAACCAGGAAGAGGTAAAATGAGTTTTGTATAGGGTTTCAATACATGTTTTAAAAAATTCAAAATATTCGCTGTACATTTTTTAATGAAGGATACATTTATGAAAAAAATACATACCTATACTAAGCAAACAACATTTATTTAATTTTAAGCTTATATAAATCATTTTCTTGTTGATGGATTTTTGATCAGTCCAAAAATAGTTCTCTGAACGGTATGTGAGAAAAAATCATACTGAACAAATTGTCGTGTATGGTTAACAGTGTCTTTTGGATAGAATTTTTCAATTCTTCATTCACCACCCTCCAATTGTCATTGAGTACTTTGTTCAATTCCAGACCTGAGAAAAAAAATTCGTTAATATTGAATGGGGTTAATATGTGCATGATTTCAAGACAAGAAGTTGAAATTAACATAGATTATATAGATATAGGTTATAGCTTCTTCTTCTCTACATTCTTGACATACAGGAGATGAACATTTTTTGTTTTGTTCAAATGCAAACGTAACATGTCACGTGATTGGAAATCGATTAAAGTAAGAAGGAAATTACTTAGTCTTTCGTCACCATTCATCAAGTTCGTGAAATTGTAGATCATATTGCCTAGCTGGTAATCATACGATGATTTTATGATTTTGGCGTATTCTGCTCCATTTCTGTTCTCCATAGTCCATTCCAATTCATAATCGTACAGTCCTTCAACTGAAATTAAAAAAAAAATATTGAAGAACCTACATCTACTTTCCACATAATGTTCTCATATAAACTGGGCGTCAATTGAAACGTTAATAGTGAAATTTGGCATCAAGTTTGACTTCTCGTAATTTCTAAAATATTGAACGAATTTTGAATTGCCGCCCAGATTCTGAATGCCTTTTTCATCGTCTTTCGAACCGTTCCTTATAGCTTCTTCTAAATTGATCAGGACCCATGATACAGGGTGAAACAAAGTTTCGTGCATTTTGAAAAAAATTTCTCCGCCCCCCCATTTTGTCGAAAGACCACGATGCTCATATTTTATTCAGGCATATCATACCTCGGAACGTTTCCGAGTTTTTGCCAAAAACTTCTGTGGTTTCCGAAAAAAAAATGTTTTTTGCATGTTTTTTAAATGGACTGATTACCTGTATCCTCAAAACGATGAATCAGTCTATTTATTGTCATGACTGACCTATTGAAAATGGTACTTAAATGAGTTTATATCGTAAACGTCGTAGCCTGAAATAATAATTATCTGTACTGAATTATAGTTTATATCACTATAGTGATCTTACCTAATGATATTTTCCATTTCGACCCGATTTGAACGAAGCATCTTCAAATTTTTTAGGACCCGAATTACACTGACGTTTTCATGAAAATTGGCAATTGATATAACCTCTATGCATACCTACATTGTTTCAACAATACGTTGTTATAGAAACAAGGTATCGTTGTTTGTTTTTGTTGATGAGATGTGTTGATTTACTGCTCACTAAGGTAGAAAACTTTTATCATAGACTGCGAAGTAATAAATTATTGATTGTTTTTGAGTAACCTGGTATACATGTCTGCTCCAACGCTTTCCTGAAATGCATAAAAAATGTTTTTTCCGGAAACCACAGTAGTTTTTGGCAAAAACTCGAAAACATCCCGAGGTATGGTTGCTATTTATGAAATGCCTGAATAAAATATGAGCATCGTGGTCTTCCGACAAAATGGGGGGGGGGGCGGAGAAATATTTTTCCAAATGCACGAAACTTTGTTTCACCCTGTATCACGGGTCCTGATCAATTTAGAAGAAGCTGTAAGGAACGGTTTGAAAGACGATGAAAAAGGCATTCAGAATCTGGGCGGCAATTCAAAATTCGTTCAATATTTTAGAAATTACGAGAAGTCAAACTTGATGCCAAATTTCAATACTGACGTTTCAATTGACGCCCAGTTTATGTATAATGATAAAAATAATAGTGAAAGCAGAGCTATTGCCTATCATTTTTTCCAGACAATAAAGTTTAGCTGATGGGATTCATATGGAATAATAAACCGACATACCAAGTGTTATGTTTACGAGACCATGACCATTCAATGGGAATATCATGAGGTGACCATTCATCTTGTAATCGCCCAGTATCACCACGGGAGATGCTCTGCTAATCACGTGAGCCTTCTGACGTTCAAAATTCACACTAGAAATTAACATTCGAAGCATGAAAAAATAGAATACGTGCATAGAAAAATGCTCACTCAAATTTTGCCACTTCAACCGTTTCCAGTCCATAAACTTTGATGTTTTTTATAGCCAAGTGGAAATCATCAGCACCATTCAATTCGACCAAAGTCAACTCCAAAGGGTTCATCCTGGCCAGTCCTAATCGTCTGTCACCTAAAAATTCAAAAAAAAAAGTTAAATACCAATTTCTGCCCAAGAGAAAACATTTAGCGTTCAATAAGTCGAATTAAATTTGAATTTTGAACTCAGGAGATTTGAAGGTATTCAAAGATTTGTTGTTCTTTGCTGAGAAAGAATATTGTAACCTAACCGATTTCTTACGCCTCAACACGTGTTTCGCTAACTATGTACGCATCTTCAGGAGAAAATTCTTCAATTCGTATAATAGTTTTTTGAACAACAGGGAGGTGTACAGCTATGTGTAATTGTTCATCACCTTTTTTGGCTGAACTGTTTATGAATCGGTTTGAAACGAATGCAAAAGAAACATTTTAGTATTTCCTAGGGTTTGGATTGGATATGTCGACGATATTTTCGGTATTTTTGATACGAAAATCACAGATATACATATAGATAACTTCAATTCACAATTGAAAAATAGCTTTCTCTTTATCAAATTCACTTTTGAATGCGAAAATAACGGTCAATTACCATTCTTAGCTGTTCTTGTGATCAAAAATGGCAAAAACAATTTGGAATTTGGTGTTTTTAGGAAAGAAACTATACATACATATACTATATATAACCAACGACTCCGATCACTGTTTTCAATACAAAATGGCAAGTTTGAATTTCCTAGTGCAAAGACTATTTTTATTTCCTCTGAGCAAACAAAAATTCGATGTCGAAGGGAATGTTGGCTGGCGTCAATGGTTATGATATCAAAATACTATCGAATTTCTTCAACTTTCCAAGGAGATAAAAACAATTCAAGAAGAATCCCAATCCCGTTCAATTCCAAGTAATACGCGAAAGGACTTGATGAGGTTCTCAAAGACTTGTGAAGTTTTTACATAATCCGCTTGAAAATATGCATGCTTATATTTTAGAATACGCTCTCTTCATTTAAAATATTTTCAGTAATGCAGTGGTGCCGCTTTTATCAAAAAGTAGCAACAACTTTGTAATTTCAAATGAAATACCCTGTATTTTATTGCATTTTTAGATTCTCCCTAAGGAACTGATTTCATCGATACATCACACTTGATGGGGGTCTATCGGAAATGATTACAGATATATATAGAGTGTTCAAAATCGAGATTTTCCTACTTTTAGGATTTGTTTGTGTCGAAACTATTCATTATCGGTCAAAACGGCTCACTTGTCCCTATCTCAACTTTTGATTTACTATTTACTGATATTTAATCGTCCAAATACAGGGTGATCAGAATTCTGAATTTTGAACCACCCTGTGTCTGTTCCGATTAAATATCAGTAAATAGTGCATCAAAAGTTGAGAAAGGGACATGTGAGTCGTTTTGACCGATAATAAATAGTTTCGACAAAAAATTCTATAGTTGAAAAATCTCGATTTTGAACACCCTATATCTCTGTAATCATTTTCATTTTTTTTTTTTTTCGATAGACCCCAAGTAAGATATATCGATGAAATCAGCTCTTCAGGAAGAATTTGAAGATGCAATATCATTGTCGAAAAATGAAAATTTTAAACTGATTCTCGATATAAAGATAGTGTACGCTAGCTCGTACACCCTGTATAAAGATTTTGATAGTCAATTAGCGAATTATGACGAATTGATTTATAAGATTTATTTTTTTTTTCGAAACTTACCTTTCAGAATATAAGGTAGGACTTTTTTGGAGTGTTCCAGTGCACATGTTGAGAAGTTTAAACGTCTGGAACATGGTAATATGTAGCTAGCTGTGAACAAAAGAAGAAAACAACATCAATATACACTGTATATACAGGGTGGACCAAATTGAACACTTTTGAAGGGAAAGTCTCATTCATTTTCATGAAAAACTCAATGGAAAAAACCGCATATCGATATCAGTCTTCGTTGCGGAGTTTTTCGAAAATGGGCATTATTGAAGTGGCTCCAAATATTTTGTTGGCAAACATTGTCTGTTGACACGAAAATAACTGCAAAGCATTGAGTTTGTGATTCAATTTGTTCCTGGAGCACAGAAGTGAGCGAGATATTTCAATTAATAGAAAAATAATTAAACTTTAACCCCCTGCATCTCCGCTACTGATCGAGATCGGACACATTTATACAAACTTTTTTGATTAATTTGTACCTTAAATCCTGAATCACCCTGTATTTATATATAGGGCACATTAGATGGTTTCCCCAAAATTTCACTGAGTTTAAAAATTTCACTATTGGAGAGGGTAAGAGAAAAATGATATGTGATATTGGCATTTCAAAACTACATAAATTAATTTTCATATTTTGGCGAAGGAATCTGACTTTGAAGGAGATCCTAAAATATATTTTCCGAAGTTAATATTTGTGTTCATATAATTTTATAGCGAGGTTAAATTTTCTGTTAGTAAAAATCATGAAGGACATGTTGATTGAGAACAGAACAAAAAGTTACTTACGTCTGTGCATAGAATTTACTATGGTTAGTGAAAGCGCCAGTAAAAATAGAAAAATCATTACGATTATCTTGAAGAACTGATTTTAAAAAAATAGGTAATTCTCAAAGAATTCTGAACTATTATCAGTTATATGGAACTGGGGAAATTAGAGTGTACTTAATTTTCAATAATAGCCCTACCTAAAACCTCTAGATCATCATATTCTAATTGCAATTTAATAGGTCAGGTATGAAAATGGGTGGTTTCTCATGATTTACTATATCATTTGCTATAGTACCAACAATATTACTGATCCTTTCATAATACTTATACTGGAATGTATTATTGCTCAATTCTCACATATCTACGTGTTGTCTTTCATTATTGTAACTTGTATTATATTTTCTAAAACCTGACAATTTAGTAGTAGAATCAAAAATATAAAAAAATCAATAGAAGTTCCGTATATTGAAGAATCAAAAAAAGACTTTGCATATGTATTTCCACAGCAATATTCTATTGAGGCATATTCGGCCATATTTTGGTTCGAAAAATCAGCCCTTAGCCTATGTTCCAATAGTTATATGACTCACCCTGTATAATTCCAAATGATGGATACAGTTACGTTAATTCGCAATTTGATATAAAACTCTCTTGAAATGTTAGTGAAATTTTTTTTTTTAGATGAGTGAGGTACATAAAAATAACCTAATGTATAATAATTTTGGTAATTTATGACCCATATTATTTCGATGCAAGGGTCTGAAATAATTCGAACCAGTATAAATGATTAAAGTTCGCACCTTGACTATACTATATCACTGTATAATTACTCTACAATTTTATTAGTTTTTTATTATGTTAAGTGTATAAAAAGAGCGTTGACAAGATGCCGACACTTGTAATTGCTGTGCGAGGTATTCAGATTTCATAGTTTCCTCAGTGAGGGAGGTATTACAGAAGATTATGTCTCGAATCTCAACAGTTTTGGTCGCCGTTGGATTACTGGTATTGAGGTCTACCTTCTCATTCCGTAAGCACCCATTTCCTTAATTTTTAATAAATATAATATTTCTATATCGATTTAATTGCTAAAAGTGCATCCCACAAACTTGGTTTTCTGTTTCGGGCCAGGGGCTATTTCACTTCCAGTCAGCTGCTCATGATCTATAAGGCACAGATCCGACCTGTCCTGGAATACTGTTCACATATTTGGAGTGCAGCACCCAAACATACCCTGAAACTGTTGGATTCTGTCCAAAAAAGGGCAGTTCGTCTCGTGGGTGATGCCTCGCTCACAAACTCACTTCTCTAGCACACCGTGAAAAAGTTGTCGATCTGGCTCTATTTTATAGATATTTTCATTGACGATGCTCTTCTGAAATATCAACAATTGTTTTCCTCCCTTGGCAGTCCCCGCGAGATTAACCCGTCGAGTTGAGGCTTCGCACCACTTCGTGGTTTCTTTGGAGACCTGTAGAACATCTCTTTTCAAAGACTCGTTCATCCAACGAACAGCGAGGCTCTGGAACACATTGTCAAGGAAGGTGTTCCCAGAGGCATATAACCTCCAGAAATTTAAGAAGAACACCAATTCCTACCTTATTTCCCCTGGTTCTAACGATGTTCTATGAACATTACAAGATATCCCTTTTCTTGGGAACCAGAACATATAAAAAAAATCAGTCGGGAGAAATCCATGAAAATGTGTATGCTAATATTTTAGTATACGTTCTCTTCATTTAAAATAATTTCAGCAATGCAGTGTTCCTGCTGCTATCAAAGAGTAGCAACAACTTTGTTACTTCAAACAGAATACCCTGTATCTTATTGCATTGTTAGATTCTCCCTGAAGAGCTGATTTCATCGATACATCATACTTGGGTTCTATCGGTAATAATTACAGAGATATAGGGTGTTCCAAATCGAGATTTTCCAACTCAGGATTTGTTTGTGTCGAAACAAAGCGGCTCACATGTCCCTATCTCAACTTTTGATTTATTGTTTACTGATATTTCATCGGAAGAGATACAGGGTGATCAGAATTCTGAACCACCAAAATGGTGCCCAAATTCAGTATTAATGGAGACTGAGAAAGCCCCAAAATTTCAAAATGATTCTAATTGGGAGTCAAATCGAATTTTTATTGTTTCCTCAAAAACAAAGCTAGATACAAAAATCATACATTTCAATCGTTCAATCTAATAAAAATATATATATGTTCCACTGTGACGCCACTGGAAATATTATTTAGAATCTAATTGCACTAGAAGAAGCTTCATATCACTATTAACAAAACCACAACGTTTTATTGAAATTGATGAAAAGGCAATTGAGAAATGAATAGAAGAAGGATTCTTCATCATGGAAATATTAATACCCTGTATCTCGAAAACGAAGCTAGGACACATGTTCATATGAACTTCATTTCCTAAGATATCACAAGGAATCACCCGCTGAATTTTTTCGGTGTTATTTGGATACACCCTGTATAGGCACAAAATATGGTATTTTCAAAATAATAACAAAATAACAACAATAACTTGTGAGTATTTTGTAGATAAATTGAAAACATTGTCCTGTTTCATTTAAGCTCAATAATAATAATAAGGTCATATAATTATTGATTCCCATCAATTGTTTTGTTTATGAACAACCGTATTATGTAGTGATTGTCATGTAAACTATATAGGCTGTAGGTAATTAATAGGTAAATTCGTAACCATTATCATGAATGCTACGTAAAGAAGTGTAGACAGTGTTAATTTCAAACAATTGAAAATTTGATTACCTATTTATTTTGCATTAAAAAAATGAGACAAGTGGACAAGAGGACCAAAGTAAGTGATTTATACAGTGCTTTTTTTCAATGTCCATCCCCCCCTTTTATTTTTTGAACGGGTCAACGGAAAAAATTGAAACTTGGGATAATGAAAATAATGTATAAAAACTGTATCTTGAAGTAATATTGACACATGAAAATTTCAAGATGGCAAGTGGGTGCCATCAGGGGGAAAAATAAATGACACATCTTTTTGAAGCTCCTGACGAATATTTCACAACCCTAGAATATAAAATCAATATCTTCACCGACTATAAAATGGCGAAACATTTAATATTTCCCTGAATACAAACACATATCAATATACTCCAGACAAGTTAGAGAGACTTGGATGATACTTTTTCCGGTTGTTGCATTGGCCGTCGAGGTCCTACGGAATGGCCAGCCCGCTCGCCAGATTTGACACCTTTAGACGTTTTTTGTGGGGGAAAGTGTTCGGCGTAAAATATCGGCTAGACTGTTCTTATGTCAAGAAGTTCAAGGCAACCATTCCGAGCACCTTCGGAGCTGAACTCAGCTTATTTCCTCAAATTATGAAGTGAACGTCGATGCTTTCAGGCAATTATTAAGTGTTCCGTAATTTTGTAGTAGGTGTAGATATTGGCTTCATAATCTAAGGTTTTAACGTATTCGTCAGCACCTTCAAAAGAATGTATATCACAAGACCCTCCTCTCCATTTAATGTTTTTCTCAGATGGCATTCCAACGCCATCTTGAAATTTTCGTCTGTCAATTTCACTCTAAAATATAGTATTCATACCTCAAATTTCATTACCCAAAGTTTAAATTTTTCAGTCTGCCTGTTCAAAAAATAAAAGGGGAAGACATTAAAAAGAAAAGCACTGATGTATACTATATTATGTATGATTGCTATAGGTATACCTAAACCCAGAAATATGGAACATTGGAACAAAATTCAAATATAATCATCAATTCCATTTTTCAATATGTAACAAATTTCACTATTAACGGTGTTCCAAAATGGTCTCCAGATATTAATATGGTTACTATTTTTCATGCATGAACTTATCTCCGAAAATATAGGTACCTATATTACATTCTCCCAGCTTATGGATACAGGTAGGTAGTTATTATTCCCAGGATTTAATCTTGATATCCCATTCGTGGAACTCCGGTCAGTACCTTATTATTAAAGGTACTTATTTGTTCTAATAATAAAACGATTATCCTGATGATATATTACGTTAATTGAAATATATTATTCAAATCCTTCTGGACTCATGTATATTCAGTTCAGTTGGATTGTGATTCTGTTCCTGGTTACTTGAGATACATTTTGCAAAAATGTCGAGATTGGTTCTACTGCTATTTGTACTTAGTGTGAGTTTTCTGAGGTCTGGATCCAGTTACCGTAAGTTACGATCTCATTATACTTTGTTAAACTTTCATAATGGCAAAATTTTGAGTAATTTCAATGGATGTTTTCAATACACACACACGAATACATCAGAACTTCGATTCAAACCAGGTCTTAATATCTTTTATCAGAAACTGGAAAATATACAAAACTCATGAAATAAGAAAGTCGTCGATTTTGAATAACAAACCTAAAAAAAAAACTGAAAATGAATTACTGATTTGTTGGGGGAAAAATCAAAGACTCTGAAGTCATTTAGATACATTTGTATCATGTTTCTCACTCTTCAGTTCAACGGTTAAATTTGAGATTTTTAGTCATTCTGTGTATTTCTATAGTACAATGTTATTGGTGCTCTCCAAAGCTTTTCGTGCTCCTCCAGAATCGCTAGACTTCTGCACTATAGTCACAAAAAAGATTCCATATTGGTAGTGTTGAGTCACTCGCTTACTTTATCATGTTTGTTGATCAAAAAACAGAACGTCGTCAATAATTTTCTGAGAATTACGAAAAGCTGAAATGCATATTAAGTCAATACACAATTGGAATATTAAAGACATTGTCATATTATGAAAGGAAATGATTATATCTTTCTATTTTTAAATGCGAATCTTGAATATTTCAATATTGTTCATAGATTTAGCTGCTAAAGTATCGTAATATTCCTGAACCTAAGAGCAGGACTTACCACAGTTTAGGGAAACCCATTCCCTAAACTGTGGTAAGACCTATTTATAAGAAGATTCAGCACGAGTTATTATCATGAATTACATCGGATTGCCCACAATTTTGGAGACTAACACACCATGCATTTATCCACAATTTCAGGATGGAGTATAAATGGATTCAGCTTCTAACGGAATATTCCCCCACAAATTATTGTCCAGCCCCCGTAGCGGATAATTCTCATTTACACGGAAATTTTCGTGTTGTTCTTGAATGTATTGCGATCCTTTGAATCGATGCTAATTCAAATGCAAGGTGTCATCTCCAATATGGATTTTCTGCGTAATCAGAGACGCATAATATTAATATTAATCGTAAGGAAAATTCAAGACAATGGTCTCATGAATGGTATATAACGAGACGATCCCATTGTTTTGTGCAAAGATTCTTTTGATCGTCGGTTCGTGACAGATTCTGTTTTTTTTATTGAAAAATATGTTTAATTGTTTCGTGTTCGTTTTGCTACAATTGTTTTTTGTGGTTGTGCTTAGTAGGAAAATTTATTTCCGTAAGTTTGTGGTAGATTTGAATTGTAATTGAAGAATTTCTGCAAGAAGGATATACTGCTTCATATATTTGCTAATTGTCGGGAATTGATAAAAACTGATTGATTTCAAACTCAATTACAAACAGTTTAATGTTATAAAAAGATGATTTTATGCACGATCGGGTGTAAAATAGCACTTTCCCGCCCGGTTTTGAGGACCGCAGCGTTCAAAGTAACTTGATTCGTTTTCGAGATACAGGGTAACAATGTTTCCATGAAATATCGTTTCTAATAATTATTCAAGTCATTCTCTCAATTTTAATTATTACTCGTGGTTTTGTTATACGTAATATGGAGCTTCTTTTGGTGTAATTATTTTCAAAATAATGGTTCCAGTGGCGTCGCAAGGGGTTTTACCTTATCAATATATTTACGGTAGAAAATGAATCTACGCCGCTGGTTTTTTGAGTTCCATATTCTTATTATAGATTGAATAGTATACAAATTACTTATTCACTTTTAGTTCTCGAGGGAACAATAAAAAAATTCGATTTGACTTCAAATTTTAATGTATGGTGCCTCAAGACACTCATTGTGATACCTCAAAAACCTCAACTTGAAGTACTATTATTTTTTGCACTTATTCATGAATGCCCTGTATATTTGGTTTATCAAATATGATGCAGATCTGCCATCACCTCATCCAACGTCATTTCTTATTGAATTTGCATCGTTTTCAGCTCAGTCGAACCGTCATTTTTTTTATGTATACGAGGTGGTTTTGAAATAAGTACATATATTTAGCCGATCAATATGATCTAGTCTAACGAATATTCCCAGAATATCAGATGTCTCATAACTATCGAGAAATGTCATCTCGTGTCGTTTTTTACTACTACCTCCCCGCTGAAATCTACAACTTTTTTCGCTTGTATACAATATAAAAAACTCACTTTCGATTGTTTAATTGCGTTTTTATGTTTCTCCTTGTCTATTTACTGTGTTGCGGCTGGTGTAGTGATGAAATAAATTCTTCTTTTTTGCATTTCTCAATATCTCATTTATTTTGCATGTTGAAATATTGACATATCCATGAGTAATACGAAGATATGATATGGGTGGTACCCCACCAAACCTCAAACAGAGAACAAGATAGTTATTTATGCAACAAGTGCAATAAACAATTTTTGCACGAGTTGCATACAACATTTTTTCTACGTTCATGCAAAAAGCAAAAAATGATTTATTGAGGTGCGGCACTAGGTGTAGGAAAATGAAAAACGCAACTTGAATACTTTATTATTAATATCGATTTGCATTGAAACAGGAACTAATACGTTACGAACAATTTAACTCAAACTTTATTTTTACCCTCAATGTTGAAAGTGAATGAACAATTGGTGCAATTTTCAATATGAATATAAAATATGACGTTTCTATAACCACAGTTGCAATATAAAAAATGTTTGTCATGATGACAGCATGTTGTAGTAGAATGACAGATGAGTGCAATAAAGAACTTCTTTTTCCACTAAATATAGTTCAATAAAGTTCTGCTTTTTGCATGAATGTAGAAAAAAAAATATTTTCATCTTTTCTGAGTATAACCTGGTTTGTTTTTTCATGGGCCTCATCAACAACTATAGTAACATCCTATCTGGCATCAAAAAATTATAAAATTAATCTTAGGGTTTCGGTGAAGTTATTATTGCCAAAAATATAATGATGTAATGTTGCCTTATGCAAGACATATATATGAGCCATAATTCACTCAGGGTAGTTTTAAATACGTATATGTATGTTTTTTAATATATATTTTATTACGATAACCAGAAAATAATTGTAAGTTTTGTATATTGAATAAAGCTTCGAATTCAAGCAAGAAGGATGTATGATCCGGATTTTGTTGTTGTCCTAAATGAACCTTTTGGTAGCCATATATGTATTTATATGGATGTCTCTTGCGACATTGATATTTTTGAGTTTTTTCAATATTTTTTTCATGTTACTTGCACTACCCTTGACAGGACTACATAACAAAAATCATTGCAAATGAAAAAACAAGTTTTGCCACATCTATAACTAACTTTTATCCATTTCAGCGTCCTACTTGAAGCCGTGCTCACTCAGTGCTCCAGATTTCTCCTCCTGCTGCCTCCAACATGGCCGAGAAGCCATCCCCTTCATTCTTAAGGGCGACAAAAAGTTCGGAATACCCAACCTGCAGCCCTTGAATGTGCCCTACGTGGAAGTTAATGCAGGAAGGGACCTGACCATCTTCCTAAAGGACCTGAAAGTGCACGGGTTGGAGAACGTCGATCTTAAACTAGTGAAGTGAGTAGAAAACAAGCTTTTTTCTGCAATCACAATAGTTCAATAGTCGTCCATTTCAATATACCAGAATTAGCTCTTGAATTGACGTTTCTATTACTGACACGAACGAAGGTATGTTGCTCGGCAACACTTTTAGTTCCTAGGAGCTAAAGTTTAACTTTAGGAGCTTAAAAAGAAGTACTAGGGCATCAAGAATAAACAACAATGTTATGATTGGTCATTTGGCATGGGACGCATACCTGATTGTTCCCGATTTCGGCAGATTTGGCATTCCATACCCATACTGGAGATTCATGATTTACATACCTGCTTGATCTGTATATCATTTTTTCTCGAGATCTGATTAATCAGATAACTTGTTCTTGAATAATCACGACCAACAATACTTTTTTGTCTTACACAACGATATTGTTTACCTTCATTTGATTACCGAGCCAAACACAGTGGAATATGGAGGGAAATAAATAATAATATTATTATTGTTGATATGCTCACTAACCTAACATTTTCCATTTTTTCCTATATCTGGCACTGGCGCGGTAATGAATTCATCGATTCGATAGAATTCACAAATGGGTTACTCTTTGGCTGTATTGATATTGAAACTACAATTCCAAGTAAAATCATCTTTTACCAATTTTCTAATGTTCGCTTTGATCAAGTAAAACATAAAATCGAACATTTGCTAGTCCCTGAACCTGAAAACGAAGCTGTTGAAAACAACTCAAATAATGCCAAAATGATTTTCATTTCGGGTAGAACTATAAAAAAATATTTATTGTCACTGTACTTTTTGGTACAGAGATAGGTACATAAACTTCAAGCAAAAAAATCTCAATTCTGTCTAAATTTTATGTGATCTAATGAGGAACTGTGAATAACAATTTTTTCTGTAACTTTGTTCTTTTTAGAATTGATACCAAAGCTAAAAGAATAACACTGAAATTGGATGTCCCCAAACTGGAACTCATTGGACAATACAAAGTCGACGGAAAAATCATGATCCTCCCTATCAAAGGAGAAGGTGACGTCAGCATTACTGCCAGTGAGTATTATAATTGATAGTGTCTCTCTACAGGGTGAATCTTGATGATGAAAATACGTTGAAAATATATCAAACTTCGAAATTATATTTTGATTTCATGCGACGCCCAAACCACCGAACATCAACTAAAGATAGAAATATGATCAATACGCTGGATTTCTCTTTCAACCAGCTTTCCAGTGAGGGGCCGCAAGCCATACGGTTGCATTTGAGAAAGTCATGTTGGGGTTGATTCCAGCTACCCCTCAACGGTTATATTGTCCATATTGCTCGGGAATTTTCACTTGTAATACCACTAGAGGTCAGAATATTTCCGGAAATTTTTTCGAGCTCATGGATATTTTGAACATCATTTCGGGTCGAAGACGATTTTCATTTTGGAACCCTTAAATCGGGGTGTTAAGTTTTCGTTGGTACTTTATAACTACACAGTATGTCAATTCGATAATTTCTAACCCCTAATATTCCCCTTACAGTAAATAATATGAATTTATTTTCAAGGGGAAGGAGAGCGATAAATGTTACCCTTAGAATCTTGAATGGAAAGGGGGGGGGGTGAAATGGCACATATTTTGAAGGGTGTTCAAGTCTCTTTCCAGAGGCACCCTAATTGATTATTGATTGAAGAAGAATTTCTAAAATCTAAAATCGAGGTTCTTCGAAATTCGACTGACTTCAATCATTAATATTAGAAAGGTGTTATTATTCAACCCTTTGTTTTTTTCAGTTGGTGGAAAATACGAATACGATTTTGATTACGTCCTCGAAAATGTGAAAGGAGAAGAGTATATGGCTATGACAACCAATGACGAGCTGGATTTCAAATTGGAGAAAGCCGTTTTCAAACTGGACAATCTTTTCAACGGTGATGAAGTGCTAGGTAAGAAAATCTCAATGAAAAAGATTATTCAATGATAATTTGAAAGTGACTGAAATACAACAAAAATATCTAATAAGGATCTAAAAGTGAATGAGGTTAGGAAGTTCTGCACAAGTTGTTGAGACATTTTCATGGAATATCTAGAATATCTATATGATTTTCAAAATTCTGTACGTGATTTTTTTTGTTATAGGAAAACAAATGAACAGTTTCCTCAATGACAATTGGAAGGAAGTGATTGGGGAGCTTGGTGGAGCGATCAGTCAGACTGTGGGAACCCTAGCTAGATCAATCGTTTCAGGAATTTTCAAAAAAATACCTTACAAAGCCCTTATACTAGCTTAGACATAACTTTTATTTGATGTAGTATTATTATATTTGTGATTAGAGTGATCTAAATTATTTGACACCATAGTAAAATAAATTGAAATTTATTATATTTATTTTATTATGTTGATAACTGCAAAAGAACTACTGAGGAGGTGTTCTCTAGTAGCATATTGATATAATCATGGTATTAAAATGTCTTTCAAATGTTTTTTTTTTCAATAAAGAATTCCTTTTTGTAATATATCTTCGTGAAATCCCAAATACTTTCTTAGGCCACCAGAAAAATGTCTGCGGTCGTGGTGGGAATCGAACCCACATGCCGGTAATCTAACGTGGATAGAACATTGACGCTTTAACCACGGGGCTACGCTGGCCATCAATCAATAGATGGGGAATTACAAGGGTGTTGGATGCCTTTGGAACATATAACATTTCGTTTGTATCAGATGACGGTAGAAATTTGCCGTCGGCTCTCCCACTAATAGAGATTTGCAGTCGGCTCTCCCACTAATAGAAATTTGTAGTCGGCTCTCCCACTTATTGGAATGGTGAAGCTCTGGAATTTCTGGCCAATGGAAGTATTTCCAAGAACTAAAAACCTACATCATTTAATAAATAAAAATCCAATACTTACCTCCCCTTCCTCTCCTTCCTAGGTACACACGATGATCTCAGAACATTATGGAGGATCCCCTTCCGTACGCTCCTAGAGAAAAAAAATAGGACACTGTGGGTTCGAAACCAAGTGTAGACCTATATGTCATATTTACCTGGTATCTCAAAATCTCATCAGCATTTCCGATATCATTCTCATGCGATATGCATGGGAATACATCTTTTATACAGGGTGGCATTGAAATAAGTGCAAATATTTCAAACACTGAGGAAGCTCGACGTGTACTATCGAATGGCACTAATAAAAAAAAATCTAGGGATCAATAGTTATTTATTATACAAGGGAAAAAAGTGGTAGATTTTAGCTCCGACGTGTAGCGGAGGGAGACAAAAAACCGTGAGCTAAAATCTAATATTTTCCCGTGTATAATACACTATTTTTTTCTGTGACAGAAGAAAGGATGAATCAATATTGAGAAGATATTACATTATTTTGAAATCTGAAAATTATCGACGTGAAATTTCAAGTTTTTAACAGTGGTGACACTTGCGTTGTAGGCATCTTTATCATTCTTTTGAAATAATCAAATATCTGATGTCACTTCTGTCAGTCTCATTCTGTGATTTGATTTCAAAAAATTGCGAATTTAGTGGTTGTTTAGTAATATACGTAACCGCGAAGTCGAATGGAAGATAAAAGGACTTGCAGTTCTTTCTCGGAGACGGTATTATTCTCTCATTTTTCGGAACTATAGCACAACAAAAGCCATCAACAGTGTATATATATGTGATATATATCCGGGAAAAAAGTACTCACTTTTATCCCACCCTGCCAACAGAGATGAAATGCCAAACTTTTTTCCCGTCACAGAAAAAAATATCAATTTTTCCACCACCCAAAGTTCTACACTGTAACAATCACGCAAATTGCAATCATTTAAATTCTTTTAAAGTGACGTGTGCTCGATTTTTTCTCATATTTCGTTCAATTTTTGGGTTGAAATTCCTCGTTAATTAGAAGAATTAGAAAAAAATCTGATATCATGGGAATATTCTACACACTGTATCATATGAATGTGCTGAATATGTGCACTTATTTCAAAAACACCTTGTTTCCTCTCTCTGGAATCCCCTAGACCCTTATTCTGTGTCCCAGATGCTTTCGCTAAAATCGATATCACGTGACCTGCCCGACGCTTCCGGATGGAATCTGGATCGTCTCTGGACGTGCCTCTGGCAGTCGTTCGTTCACAGTCGATCCGGGCTCTCATCCAGACCTTTCGTTCGACCAACAACAAGTTTCTCACCCGGAAAAGCCATCCCCGGCTGGAAGGGATGGATCTAGTCGTCCTCAGACCGTCGAAAAATGCCCGCCAAAACCAAGATACATTCATTTTCGAAGCTGGAGGCAGTCGTAATACACGGTGAGCCATTTCACAGGGTCAGGAGCCATGGAATTTTCCTTCCTTCGATGTGTCTTCACTTTTTCTATGAGTCCAGAGAAATTTTGTGAAACATCAGGCGCAATATACTCTGTTAAGAAAAACTTACTCTCAGGTTCACCCTGTATGTCGGAAATTACATTTTGGTGACATTAAGCTTAGTAAGCCATGGAAAGCAAATTTTTCCATCAAATCAATAATTATTATATCTGATGATCAAGTGATGGGAAACAAGCGAATTTGAATGAGGAAATAAGAGTGATATCAATTTTTTTTTCATGAAGTATTCAATTTAGTAGGTAATAATGGAACACATACTCAGTTACCATAACTAATGACTTGATAATCATCACAAGATGTTTAATAATTATCAAAGTTAATAACAATAACACGAGTCCTTCAAATTTTATCGAACATTTTTTTCAATTTCCCACGAATAAATGCTGTTTATTATTTAGCAAAAATATGAAAACAAACCGATTGAGAAAATTACGAGTCTATCAGAAAGAGTGATTTTTTCTAATGCGGTTCGTTTGAATGCTTTTGCCTCAAAAGAAGAAGTTCTAGTGATGAAAATAACAAAATATCTGATAAAATTTGAAGAGCGCAGTTGTATTTTGAGACAATTTTTTTTCCGGTAAAAAGCGGTTTGTTCTATCGATTTCTAATCTCACGGTGCCACAATTCAGTATGGATGGAGACTGAGAAAGCCCCAAAATTTCAAAATGATTCTAATTGGTTTGAGTGGTTTTCTAGTACTGAGAGAATTTTCAATTGTTTCATTCAACCTGAAAACGAATTAGTCACACTACCAATATGTTTATACAGTCTGTCCAAGATAAGGTTGCACAGCATGGGGATCTCGGAAACGGTAGGAGATACGAAGTCGGTTAAATAGGGAAAAAGTTGCGCATTCGGAGGCTCATACCAACAGCATTCGGAAATTCTCAATTTTTTTTTTAGTTTTTCAGTTATATCGAAAAAAGTGAATTTTTGGAATCTCTATTTTATTTTTTTTTCTCCGTTATTATTAGAGATACAGGAAAACTGAAAATACTTTTCCATAGCAACTTTTGATGACGTTCAACGTGGTGATACCGATTTTTCTATGCGACGTTTCTTATTCGTAGAACCATCATCAACTTTTGTTTTTTGAATACGGCTCTGATAATTCTTTCACAGATTCTGAAAGCTTTTTTTATTTTGAATTCATCCATGTATTAAACAATCTGGTTTATGTGTGTTTCGACCTATTTTTAGCCATCATCAATGTTTTTTCGAAATTCCAAAGGAAAAATGCCATCAGTTCCACTTATTTTGAAGGAAAATTAGCCAACAAACTAATACCTCATCAACTAGTTCCGATTGATTGACTTATAGGAATAATTCGGTCGAAAAATTTAATTATGACGAGCTCCTTCGGATTAAAATATGAATACAATTCATAAACAATTCGAAGCGCTGCATTGCATAATTTGGTGGATTTTTTTTCACTTCTCAGTATTGAATAACTAGTCCATCAATGTTTGACACTGAATAGTCAGAAATAAGTGAAACTGATGGCATTTTTCCTTTGGAATTTCGAAAAAAACATTGATGATGGCTAAAAATAGTTCGAAACACATTCAAACCACCTTGTATAATACATGGTTGAATTCAGAATGAAAAAAGCTCTCAGAATCTGTGAAAGAATTATCAGGGCCGTATTTGAAAAACAAAAGTTAATGATGGTTCTACGAATACGAAACGTCGCATAAAAAAATCGGTATCACCACGTTAAACTTCATCAAAAGTTGCCATGTGAAAGTATTTTCAGTTTTGCTGTATCTCTAATAATAACGGAGAAAAAAATAAAATAGAGATTCCAAAAATTCACTTTTTTCGATATAACTGAAAAACTAAAATAAAATTTGAAAATTTTCGAAGGCTGTTGGTATGAGCCTCCGAATGCGCAACTTTTTCTCTATTTAACCGACTTCGTATCTCCTACCGTTTCCGAGATCCCCATGCTGTGCAACCTTATCTTGGACAGACTGTATAGGAACTTCCTAAAATAGCGTCTTTTATCAATTGTCAAAGTTTTGCTATTATAAAGTTGACCACCCTGTCGAATTCAAGGGTTACACCAGAGAAAAAGAGGTGTAATGAATGCCACAGCCTGCATTAACGAATTTTTGCCCAAAAAATGTCCAGATGCAGAGCCGGCCGATTTTGAACGAGCGATCTCCGCCTCAGGCTATGGCAGATTCAACGTCGCCCTGTACATTCTTTCGGCCGCCGCCGGATGGCCGACGGTCTTTGAGACCACCGCCATGTCTTACGTCTTCCCCGCCGCCGAATGCCACCTCAGACTCACCCTCGACCACAAGGGGTGGCTCAACGCAATCACATACGCAGGTAACCAAAAAAACTGAAAAGACGCAAAAAACACTAAAAAAAGCATCTAGAGATACTTTTCCATCATAATTTTTTATTGTTTTAGAAAATTTTGGGTCGATTAGTGATCTGTGTAGACCTCCTTACTAACTCCATACGCCTCCTAGCAACCAATTATATTATATTATATTGATCACAGCAGTATGCTTTACCAAAATATTCGATTTTTCCGTATAGTTCAAATTAACGAGAAATGTTATCTCAAAAACTCATGTCTTACGTTTTCCCTGCCGCCGAATGCAACCTCCGACTCACCCTCGACCACAAGGGGTGGCTCAACGCTATTTCTTACGCAGGAAACTGAAAAAAAAAACACAAAAAAACAGCTAGAGAAGTTTTTCTATTATTATTTCTCAGGTTCTTAGAGGAATCTGGGACACTTGGTGGCTTGTGTAGGCCTTGTTACTAACTCCATGTGCCACCTAGCAAACAAATACCAGTTGATCAACCGAGAATGATGATTATTCACAAAGGACAAACATTCTCAATTATGGTCTACTTCCCAGATTACGTTTCGCGAACATAAGTTTCTAGCATTAATAAAAATATCACGCAGAAAAGCGGCATTCATTCATTTTAATCATTGAATCAATTATATCCATTATAAAATCATTTACCCATCAATTCGTACCACAAAGGGTAGTTCAACGGCATCACTTACGCAGCTAACAAAAAACCCTCAATAAAAAACCTAGAGGAATTTTTTCATGTTTCTTAGATGATTTTGGCACACTTGATGGTTTGTGTAGGGCTTGTTACTAACTCCATGCGCCACCTAGCAAACAATAAATTTTATATCAGTTGACTAACCGGGAATGCTGATCATCGAAAAAGAGCGAACTTTCCCAACTATGCTATCTACGACTCTGCATAATACATTTCGCAAACAAGAGTTTCTTAGCATTGAACATCACGCAAAAAGCGACATTTATTCACTTTAATCATTGTATTCATTCTTTACATTATAATCATTTATTCATTCAATTCGTACCACAAAGGGTGGCTCAAATCATACATATTCAGGTAACAAACAGAAAAACTCAAAAAAGCACAAACCTATCAATATTTATCCTTTTCTCAGATGATTTTGGGATAATTGGTGGTCTGTGTTGGCCTTGTTATCAACTCCATGCGCCACCAAGCAATGAATGATAATTATAGAAGGTATATGGTATTATCAAAATAAATTCATACAATGTGACCTTACCTAATCGATGGGAAAGTATCTTGAAATTTGCTGGAGCGAGAGATATACCAAAAATGCACTCTATGACCAAGTGGGATCATCTTCAGTGATATACACTACTCACCAACAGCTATGGAACCACCCCAATTTCCGAAAAATGACATCAGGAGTCAAAATAGGTCGAAAATCACTAACTATTCCTATTTTTCCTGGAAAATTTTCATTTATAAAAAATTAAATATTGTCGCCGTCTTACTTAATTGACTCTATATTTGGACTTTCCCTTCCTCCTGCATTCCGAATCCGAAGTGATTTCCAACCTATTTTGACTCCTAATATCATTTTTCGGGTATTGGTGTGGTTCCATGGCTGTTAGTGAGCAGCGTATATCACTGAAGATGACTCCACTTGGTCATAGCAAATTTCAGGATCCTTACTCAACGATTACGTAATATACAGGGGTGTTTCCATTGGTATAGTGGGTTACACTGTATATGGAACACATCAACATACATTAGTCTCAACAAAAATTACAAAAGTATTGGAATTTTCCTGAGCCTTCGAATTAACGAGAAATTTCATCTCTAATAAAATTGAATTGAAAAATGTAAACAGTGAAGTGTTTTTACTTTAATTTTGGCTATTCAAATTCATTCACTGATTTGCCTTTTTTTCAGGAATGATATCTAGCGCATTCATTTGGGGATACCTTTGCGACGCCTTGGGAAGGAAGAAGCTATTAATCATCGGCTTGTTACTTGATGGATTGTTTTTCCTTATGGCAGCAACATCTCAGAATTTTCAGCTGCTCATGATTTCAAAATTTCTAGGTGGATTCATGTAAGTCAATAAAACTTAATATAGGTATCAATCTACTTCTTTTCTGTACTAAAAAACTAAGCATTTCTTTTGTTTTTCCGTTCTCACTGAGAGAGGTCTGTCTCCATGTTTCGCCTGAATAATACTTTCCACAAACTTCATTTTTTGTTTTATTCATTTTGAGGGGGGTAAGAAATGCTAATTGAATACTCATTTTTGATCACAGTTTGCACTGAAAATACAGAGTGGAGAATCCCAAAAATCTAGAGAAATTAACATTCCACCTTGGCAATGATTACCCTATACCCCTATTTAGAAAAATATGTTTTTGCAGTATTAATGGTCCGTTTGCGGCCCTGACTGCATACCTGTCGGAGTTTCACTGTGCCAGAGACAGAGGCAGAGTCCAAATGATTCTAGGGACTATTTTCAGTATGGGAAACTTAATTCTACCAGTACTGGCAGTTTTCATTCTGCCCCTCAAAATCAACCTGCAAATTGGCGAACTAGGTAAGAAGATTTAACCCAGATAAAGTCCAGATCTTCTGTATATTTACTTTATGCATTGGTATATTCCAAAATAAGTATAAATATTTCCATTTGGGGACTAGCATCAGATATAAATAGGATCTTCATTATTCGAAAACGTTTTTTGCGTCTGATTTTTTATGTCAAATATAGAGAAGCTTGCAAAGAAACATTTAAAAACCGTATTCTTACGCTACCATGCATTTACGTTTATGAAACGCTAAGTTATGTTCATTCAAATTCCGTATCCTTCATGCAGAATAAAGAAAGCCATCATCATTTTACAAGGAACAGAAATGATTTCCATTTGACCAAATGTAACTATTCCGGGTATAAAAAATCCCCAAATTACTCAGGAACAAAATATTTCAATATACTTCCCCAAACCATCAAAGAAGAAAAAACCATGTGAAATTTCGAAAGCTCCTCAAAGAATATCTTCTAACAAGTTGCTTTTACTCCCTCAGAGAGTATGAGACCTTTCTTTTGATGTACTATTCATGTGTAGGTACTTTGATTGTTTTTTTTTTGTTTTCAACGTGTCACATATACAGTATGATGCAAATGTATGGAATAAATTCATTTCAAAACAAGACGACTTCCGAAAAAAATCCAAAAAGTAGAGTTCAGAACTTTTTTATCGATGTATTTTTTCAACTAGACGACCCTTCGATGTTCAATTCTCAGTAGAAGATCTCTGCAAGATTCAGTTAACCAAATGATAATCCATTTTAATTTCAATCTTCTTTTGCAAAATTTTGACTATTGGATAGACGATAAGTAGACCTTTCAAACGAGGTGTCACATGACCCCTGTTTGTATTTAAAAAAACCGTCCATTGCGTCATTACTCCAACACCGGTGACGTAACATCTCTCATATGAATGTCATGAGATGAGGTTTCAAAAATTAAAACTCACGTGTTTTTGGAATTTCTTCAAATGTCGCCCATTTCTGAAATAATGAATTTATTCCATACATTTGCATCATACTGTACATATACAATCTGTATCAAAAATGACAAAATAAACTTGAACTTGAAGGTGTAGGTATATAACCAGCAACAGGTCTTTTGAATAGAATTTTAGTTTGAGAAAAAAAATATTTTTCGATGAGTTTTCGAGCAGTTAGAATAATGAGAAATCTGCATCAGGATCCTGATTTTCGTGGACTACCTATTGTTCCAGTTTTCCATTCATGGAACGTCTATTTGATGGTAATGGCTCTACCTGCCTTGGCTAGTGGTGCAGCCTTCATGTTTCTACCAGAAAGTCCGAAATTTCTTATGGCTATACCCACTAAACATGAAAACATAACTTAAACATAAATGTTATATTACATTGTTACTTTGTGATGTTATTCAGAGAGATGCATAATGTCACAGATACGTTGCGGGAATAGGCTTTTGTGCCTCTTTTAAATATTACAATGTAATGTTGATAGTAAATATTGTATAAATATATCAGGATTCACATAAAATCGATGTTACTTTATAACGTATATTCAATGTTACTCGATACATCTAAACAATATTGTATTTCAACATTCTAATTATTTTCTAGGAGTTTTCAGGTTATGTCTATTTTATCTGGAATCATCAGGACAATCATCTAAATGATCTTCACAAAAGACAGAGAAGATGATCTATCCCTGAATAAGAATTGATCTTACCGTACTCCTGAAAGACTATGTATATATAAGTATGATCCAGTTACATAGTGATAATTTGAGACAGATTAACTACTATCTATCTATGTATCATTTTAGTTATTATGCTTCATGAATCCAGTCATACCAAGCTTAGCTTTATGATTTCTGCATAGTCCAGTGATCTCTTACTGACTTTCTGAAAAGTAATAGGTAAATATATCCGAGTTTTAGAAAGTTTTCTGACTTATTTTGAAATTCTTTTCTATGTTCTTCTTCTAGCTATGACATATAACTCACCCATTATTTTTGTAATTCGTGAAATATGAACCCAATGCGTATTCACGAATCCCTCCTACTTTTTCACATAGGTATTATGAAATGCAGATACAGATTGGTTGCATTTCTATATTCCAGCAGAACAAACCTGGAATCTAAATAGGTATCATGAGCAGTTCATATTTTCATTCGAGTCTATTTACTGATCACACTGTTTGACCTGTTCACCATACTTAATAGACAACAAACAAAATGGCTGGAATGGAATTGAATTGACTTTTGACAATTGACAAGGTTACTTTGCCGTAGAAGGAAAAATATTATCCCCTTATATCCCCTATACATGTTAGCTACGTTATAAGGTGGTGAAACGAAAACGTTGCACAAATAACATAACAACTCTGTCTGATGAACCTAAAATCAACATATCACAATATTATCTAATGGTATTGATATCAATATTGATGCAACGTCTCATAAACGTTTTACTTCATAATATTATGTTGGATACTTCAGAAGGACATTATGGCAATGTTATTTCAACAATATCACAAAACTTATAACTGAAAAATATTTCTGTTATGTATCATGTTTAGTGGGTAGGCGATAACGAAAATGCTCTGAAGGTATTCAGGAGAGTGTACAGCATCAACACGGGTCTACCCGAGGAAGAATATCCAGTAAGAGAATCAAAATATCAGAAAAATACACTGCTCAACACGGGAACACCAAAACCATCAGAATATAAAGTATCATGATATGACCTGAATGAATATGGAAACGTATATAGTCAAAATGTAATCCATCAGAGAATGATATTGAATGAGAATCGTATTCGATCGAAACAACAATTTATCAGAACCATATTCTATCGTGACGATAATTCATCATAATTTCATCCTGTAGAGAGAGTATTCTGATGGTAATTCAACAGAACCTTATTTCATAGCAACGGTAAATCGTCAAAATCGTATTTGGTCAAAGTCTCATTATATAGGAACTTCGAGCATACCTTCCTTCCTTTGGTATAGGAACGTGTTTCATTGAGTCAGTAATCCATCAGAACCATATAGTTCGTCGATACAGTAAAACATTATCATCATTATAGAATGCGATTCTTATAGGTTGATATTGCGACGAAATACGATTATGATTTTACATTGTCTCGACAGAAAACAGTTCTGACGAAATACGATTCTGACAGATTACTGTCGCGACAAAATACGGTCCTGATGAATTGTCGATGGTTTCTCATCACAATCGTATTCTGACGTAACATTAATTCAACGAAACTGTATTTTATAGAAGAGATCTCTTCAATACAATACAGTTTTGTTGAATTAATTTTACGTCAGAATACGATTCTGATGAAATACCATTCTGATGAAATACGGTTATAATGAATTACCATTCCTACGAAGTACGGTTTGATATTCGTTCCTATACAGTACATTCCTCCATTTTACTACATGATGGATTACATTGTGATGTTTTACGTTTTACATTCTGATGAATTACTGCTTCGTTAAAATACGGTTCAGTTGAATAAATACCATTTTGATCGAATATATTCTGATACAATACGTTCCTGATGAAATACGTTTTGACTGTTGCCTGGCTGTTTCAGATTCGCTATTTGCTGAACGAAACTGAGAAGAATTTTGAGTTTGAAGATGTGCGGGTAGTGAGATCTAAGAAACAAGCTCTCAAAGAGGGAATGAGCAACTTCAAGCCAATGTTTTCGACGCCATACTTTTCCAAAATCATGTTGGTTTTCCTGATTCAGTTCATGATTATGATGAGCTTGAACACATTACGACTTTGGCTGCCGCAAATCTACAAGGCAATGTACGATCACCAGTTCGAAAATGATACGGACGCTAGTCTCTGTGAGATGCTGGAAATTTTCCAACCGAATAACGAAACACTGAACTTCACCAACTGTCAAGTGGTATGATTTTTTTCGACTTGGAAATTTTAACTTTGAGGAAATATAACATTTTTATAGAGCCCTGATAACATCCAAGTTTATACCAACTCTATGATAGTTGCTGCTACCAGCATCGTAGGTTACATCATGGCTGGAACTTTGATCAACTCGATTGGAAAAAAAACTTTACTGAGTGAGTGAAACAACGCTCTATATGTAGGTACAGAGTGTCCTAGATCTTCTCATGCAACCAATATATATATTTTCAAATATAGTGACATGAATTGTTTTTTGAGGGCCACTCAATATCATATGTATAGCCATATACAGGGTGTTCCTTTTGAAAACCTAAAGTTGATGCCTGTACCGCTTCAAGGTTTTAACTGATAATTACAGAAAAATGTGTCAATCGCCAAATGATAATCGACCTGTCCGAGCGATTTTCAATTTTTTTAACGTCTTCGGATATAAGGGGGTGACAATAACTTTTAGCTGGCACACACTGTACATTTTTTTATCTCTTGGAGCGCACGTAAAATTGAGATATTGGGTGTATAAAAAATCTGGGACACCCGGAACACTGATATTTCATAGATTTTTTCTTGTTTAAGGTATTTTGGGACTGGTATCAGGCTCAGTAGCGATGACGATGTATTTTTCTAGAAACATCGTATCTACGATTGCATTGTCAGCTATGTTTGTGACTTTTGGCAGCATAGGAATAAACGTCATACTGGCAGTAGTTGTTGATATTATACCGACATCTCTGAGGTAAATCTCAATAATTACAGTTTTACAGTTATATACTCAGGTAACACAGTACTCTCCGCGATATCTCTAAGTAATTATCTTCAGGATCAAAATGCGAAATCCTTCTGCGAGGTATCAAAGATCACTATAGGCTGTCACCATGGGAAATACTCTCTGGAGTCGTCCGAAAGAAATCGCGGAGATCTCGCCTCAGATTTGATATATTCCTCATTATTGCGAATCCTTGACGTTATCTATAACAGGAAATGAATAGGCATTTCTTTCTGCGGGCACCCAAGGATATCCTGGACGTAACAAGATCGAGAATTTCCCATTGCGAGCTCATAAAGTAATCACAAACATAACCTGAATAATTAATGAATATTCCTATATACAAAAATATTGAGTTGTTTTTTTCAATAGCCTTTATAATTCAAATACTGGGTGTCCCAAGTTATCGTTTACAGGCAATATCTCGCCTATTTGTCAAGATATCAGAAGCATTAAAAAACTGCATTAAATGGCATTAAATAACCTTCCTAATGGCTTATGAAGAATGTGATATATTTGGCAGCCCCCGGATGGTAGATACTGATCTAGTAGCATATTGTCTCTGAAAATTGCGTGTCAATCTATTTGGAATACAACGATATAGCACATACTTGGTGTTTTGTTCTTGATAACAACAAAAACATGAACATTTTGTGACTTTTTTACGTCACTCAAATGACAAATTGCTTTCACCCATGTGTTCAATAAGAAGTATGGATTGCATTTTTGTTTCAAAATATTAATGACAGATATTCCATTTTGAACTGCACAACATCAATCATTGCAGACGGTACCGACCTAGTGTAATAATTAATCTAATTTCATGTGGGACATTTTTACGAACATGGGAGGAGGCAATTTTCAATCGATGTAACGTAAATGAGGTCAAAAAATTGTATTGTTAATGTTGTTATTAATGAACAAAATACAAAGTACCGATGTGCTATCGTTCATTCCCGAAATAGGATGATTGGCAATTTTCATTGACAATTAATATACAGGGAGTCCATTAAATGAAAATTGAGGAGTTGCTACCAGGTGGCTGTCCAATCTTATACACTTTTTTTGAGTCATAAAGAAAGTTCTCTGATGTCATTTTTGAAGCATTTTTACTTTTTTTTGTTCATCTTGTCGAGTAAGCAAGTTTTTGCCGGTACCTTTACGATAACTTGGGACACCCAGTATTAACATGAAATGAGAGCCATCAATCTATGATAATAATAATTGTATACTATAGATACTAGATTTTCTTCTTGATTATTTCAAATTTTGCAGTGAATTAATGATAATTAATTATCTGCCCTGACGAAAAAGACAAAAATGTTCTAATTCAGGTGGGATCGAGAATCAAATATCTACCTCAAATTCGTGGGTAGATATCGGACGGTTTTTTTTTTAAAGGATACCCGGCCAACTCCTCGGAGATTTTTTCAAGTGATAAAGTTTACTTGATCAATGTCTTGCTATAGAATAATATATAATTAAAGCTCATTACGTTGATCTAACTCTAAGTTTGGTAACTCAATCTTTTTCGCTGAAACAAATATCCAGTAAATTTAACTTCACCCCAAACAATATAGCTGGCGCTAGTTAGACTTCGCCGACAGGAGACTGCTGATAACCAATGACTTCCCAAAAATTGAACACCTTACCATATTAGTGGCGATCATGTGGCGATTGATGCAAATATCGCTCTTAAAGGCCTCGTTATAAGGCGATGTGCACGGATTCTTGAACAATTCATAGTTGCGAGCACTTGAAGAGTTCGCTATTAGTAATTGATGCGAATTTCCCAAAGTTCTCTTCACAAGGCGATGCGTGCGAAAATCTCAAACTGCTCGTAGTCAGACCTCGACAGAAGCAATTGATGCGAATCTCCCAATGTCCTCGTCACAAAGCAATGTATGCGAATTTCTCAAACAGCTCATGATTGCGAGCACTTTCAGTTATCGCCAGTGGCAATGGAAGCGTATATCTCAAAGTGCGCGCCTGAGGGCATTGTATGAGAATTTCTGCGTGCGATATCTTCAAGTCCTCGCTGAGCTCAGCCTAGGTGGCGGACATTTGGCCTAGATATAGCACTCTCGGCGATCTGTCTAAGAAGTTACAAAAGGCATCACAATTTCCTAAAAGGATTTCTTCAAGATATCTTTAGGACCTCTTTGTGCTGGCTGGGTAGGGTGTCAGCCTGCCAAACTTCTCCAGCGGCTTCTATGACAAAAATTTGGCACATGCCCATGCAGTGAAAATTAAATTTCAAAATTTCATTCAGGAGGGTATAATACAGGGTGGGACTACATTAATAACTGCTCAAACATTTTTATATGCATATATCGCGACAATTCAATCCCGGATTATGGAAATCCACACCTATCTTAACTGAAAAAAGGTATTCGATCCGTTTTCGGTATCGATCATCAGATATGTATACATATATTTATATATAAATCGATTTCAAAATATTGTTGTATATATCTCAGATATTATGCATCACATATTGCAAAAAATCGTAGTGGATATTGAAAAAAAAAGCACAAAAATAGTGAAGTAGATTATGGTTATCATAATTTTTTCATTCAACGCGCCACTATGAGATATGGTTTGGTGAAAAGAAAGTAGTTGATTTGTTTATAGTCACTATAATTTGAGAATTGGCAATGTTAAGAATAATATATATGAGTGTAACAATATTTTTAAATCGATTTCACTTGTAATTCATATATCCGATCGATACGGAATAAGAGCACATTTTTCTGTAAATATGTGTGGATTTTTATAATCCGAGATTGAATTGTCGAAAAATATGCATATAAAACAGTTTGGGCAATATTTAATGTAGTCCCACCCAGTATTATACAATCCTGAATGAAATTTTTGAATGATTTCATTTTCACTGCATTGGGCATGGAAAGTTCAGTTCTATCAACCAATTGCATCATTTTTTGACATGACGTTTCGGAAATATTCAAGAAATATCATCTAAGGAGTCCCCTTTCAAGGCGCCGTAGAAACATTTCTCGACTCCTGTTCATAAGAACTTTTCTTCTTATTTTTGGCCGTAGGAGACGCTGGTGAAGTTTGGCAGGCTAATTTTGGGACACCCTGTATAGATCCTAACGCCCCGTAGTAATGCTCATGGTGCATACAAGATTTTATTTTTCACGAAGAAATTATCTTATTATAATGATGAATCGATTTTAATGAGCATGGTAGGCATGGCATTTTTTTCCTTTTCTATTTGATTTTTTTTTCAGGGCAATGACTGTATCTCTCACTATGATGTTTGGTAGACTGGGAGCTGCACTGGGAAATATGATTTTTCCTTTTCTTTTAGAATCCGGTTGTGCCCCACCATTTTTTTCTGTCGGATCTGTGATGCTAGGTACAAAATGAATTTATTGAAAAGTTCAGAACTTTGTGCAGTGGACGAATTAATCTATTTACTTCTACTTTTAGGCTGTGCTTTTTTGGCACATTATCTTCCCGATACGGATATGAAAGCTCTACGATAAAAAAGGAATAAAAAAGGTAGACCTCCAGGTACATGACCCAGAATGCCTAGACTGGAATAATTTAGTTTCTTTTTACAAATGCAACACACCATCAATAACTAGAATTCTGTATACTTTATAATTTTTTATCACTTCACATATTTTAGGGAAGAATATTCACTATGTTAATTGCAGTTGTCCCAAAAACCATTATGGAATTTTATTTATAGACAATAAAAAATTATTACTCTATTGTCCAGTAACAGTTTAATTAATTTAGGTATAGGTCTAATCACCTTTGACTTTCTGATGGGTATATGTATTAGTTACAGTTTCAATATTCACTATGATGCTATTGATGCTATGATAATTTCAACAAGCCATATATGACCAGAGAAAAGAGATTCTATATAATTTATAAAGACTCACTTGTATTTATCAATTGAGACTATTTGTTTTACACCAATAAGTTAGAAAATTCAATGCTTCAAAATAATTTCAATTGCTAGGTTCATTTTATTAACAGAATGCTCATTAAATATCATTACAAAAACAAATATAAATAATAAATGTCATTATTATAGCATGAATTCAACATAGAATTCCTTCATTTTAGTAAAGTAGGTATACTGATTATGAAAGAGAAAGGAAGCACCACAATTCACATTCAACTTTGTTGTTGCTGCTGCTGGGCCATTTTCAACTCTGCTATTTCCACTATAGCATCTCTAATTTTGCTCTTCTCAATTCCAATATATTGGACTTTTTCCATTTGCTCTGTGACAAATTTGGTTTTGCGTTGGAAGTAATCCTTAGCTGCTTCAATGTCCTTAAAACAAAAAATCATTGGTTCCCCACATTTCTTCAATATAGATGTAACTCACTTTTTCAACATAATATCTGGTTCCAATGTCTATGATCACATTATTTGTGTCATGAAGTTTTCCAGGAACATACATCTATTGCGGTAGTTAAGAAAACTCAAAATATTTCTGTCATTGTCAAGTTAATGGAACAGATTTTGGATGGAAAGGATACAGATCCTGTAAGTGGGACTAAAATATCTGCACCTTCAGATTCAGGGGTAATCTTCTCCAAAGTCTCACCAGAGTTTTGATATTTTCCTTGAGCCATTTTCAGGGAAGTGAGCGATTCTTGGAAAACATTCAGTTCCTGAAAAAAGATAAAAGTAGAATGTTCTTGGCAATGAAAATCCATTCTCACTTGATCAAGTTGCTGTTTCAAAGTGGATAACTGTTGTATATTCAAACTAGTCAGATCGATTTGTTGCATGCCTTTTTGTTCCGTAGCTGATATTTGGGCCATCGCGATCCTTATTTTAGTTTTTCAAATAGTCACACGAGTCTTTATCGAAATTCAGTCAAAAAATGTCAAAAACTAAACACTCCTAACCTGAGAACATAATAATATAACCCTACTTTGGTTTCTTCTCATTTTATTATATTCGACTCATCGGACTTACCTATTTGTTACCTGGGCTACATACAACCTGATACAACTGATTAATTCACAGACCACCTTCTTTTCAGACACCCTATACATTTCCAATACATACGGAAGAAAAAATTACGAATCTTTAGTTCTTGTCCATTTCCCATGTGAGCATCGAACACAAATGTACGACGGAACTGAACTTAGAAGTGGAACTGACGGAAGTCGCCATTTGCAATAATTGAGCATAGTATTTTTGAAGTAAAATGTTAAATGTTCTAATAATCATAATCTAATATGGTTCTAATAATCAAGTGTTGGGTGTTGTATCGGTGATCTGTGTATTGGTTCAATAATTTGATGAAGGGACATGACAAACTATTCATAATAAGAGTGAATGTGGATTTCTCATTTAAATTCAACAAGCTAATCAAAAGCATCAGTTTCAAAATATTTGGTTGATATACAAACTATACCGGAACTACTTTTTCTATAACATTATTCAACTTAGAAATAACAAGTATAGATTGTCTAACAATATATATTTACATAAATATCACTCTGAAACAACAAAGAATTTCCATATAAATGAAGTAATGGATAAAAATTCTTCAATGAAATGAAACAACAATAAAAATTTAGGAAGGTTATAAGCTCTCAAATCACAAGGACAATGTTTGTAAGTTTTCTCAAATAGTGAGAATTAATATTGTTGTTACTTTACATTTGGTGATGCATGCCATGCTTTCTAACTGGCAATATGGAATAATAATATAAGAAATAAATTGTCAGATGTAAGATATCTTCACTCACTAACTAGTGAGCCACCTCTAGCTTCAAACAAATTATCAGCCAACTCTGCAATTTCCTTGTATGATTCACAGTGTTTGGCTATACTGGAATTGACAGCATCCTCTCCCAAATACGCCCCTGCAATAGCACCGGCCATACTCGCTATAGTATCTGTATCACCACCTAGTGTTATAGCATACTGGATAGTACGTCTCAGCAGGTTGTCAGTCTAGAGCCCAAAAAAATGTATCATTAATATTTTTCAATTTTGTTCCCCTCCCACCAAACAAACAATAATGAGGTGCATTTGGGGCTGACTGAGAAAATCAAAATAAAAGAGTCAAGAAACATGATAATGAATCCTAACAAATGTTTTGAACAGCTGGCATCATTTCTTTCAATGGAAACCTGACAGATATCTTTTACATATATGCCCACTATGTCAAAAATTATTAGTTAGTTCAAAACTATACATATTCACTGCTTTATAAATTTCCACACCTTGCACTTAATTGGTGGGAACTATTATTTAGGTAGATAGATAGGTATCCAGTTTAGGAAAGCTGTTAATTAATTTTTTTTTTCATTAAAGAAGCAATCACCTGCTTTAACTATCAGAAATCTTTCTCATAATAGGATATACTCTGTAGTTTCATCAATGAATAGGGAATTTATCTCCAAAGCCTTTGACAAGAAATGAAATGAATAATATAAATGGGGTTCAATTTAATAAAGTGTATATACCCTGAAAATATCACACAACTTACCATTATTCCACAGGACTCATTTTGTGTTTTCAGAAAGCAGTAAATTGCTGTTGGAACTGATTCATAAGCACTTATGCCATGACCCAGATTCCTGATAACTTCATCATCCAAATTATCATCATGTGGTTTACCTAACAAGCGTTCTACTACTTTCAATTTCTCTTGATAAGCTCTGCTAGTGAAATCAGACCTGAAAACAGATAATTCTCTACCATTAAAAATATCACTGAATGAAAATTTCATTCACTCACTCATCTTCCCCATCTTCTTCAGTTTTCTCCACTTCCTTCATCTTGAGATACAATTCCAAGCAAAAGTGTCTAGGATCTAGTTTCTTCTGTGGATCCAACATTAAAGCTTGCTGAACTGCCATACATTGCAAAAGTGCCCCATTTATTCCCAATAAATGTGTATGTGTGATTTTTGTGGACTGTGTAGCAACTTTGATCATGATTTTGTAGTTGTTGTGATAATAGAGGCCTATAGGGGCAATACGCATGGCACCCCCATTTCCATATGAACCAGAACCTAATGCATGCAGCAAATGTTGTTTTGGTAATCTAACCTAACTTTTGTGGTTTCAACTTACCCATGAATTGTTCTGCTGCTGGTTTGAAGACATCCTCGAACTTGCTAGTTTTCAGTTTGTGGAAAACATCTACAACATTTTGTCCATACCCACGCCTGGGTTCTTTGAAATAATCATTCACAAATAATCTTGCCAGGAAACCATAGTCAGGCTCTGGTTTATCTATGAGGAATTTCGCTACGGACTTTGTCATTGCTGTGTCGTCGGTGTATGCTCTGAATGGAGCTGAAATATCACAATAGTTACATTTCTATGTTGTGAAAAGTGCTGATGCTACTCACTTTTTAAGTTTAAGTTTGGTTCCTCCAGTTTATCAAAATATCTTTGAATTATAATTTTTTCACCAGCGGTGATAGTTTCGCCCTCGTATGGGGATCCCGTACAGTCTCCAATTAGGGCTCCGAGTAGACTTCCCCTAAATTTGCTTCGCAATAGGGATGGTTCTAGTGCAGCCATTGTGATATTTTTCAGAATGGACGACATCTGGGCTGACTTGGTGTTTTGGAGTAAAAATGGAAAGGGGTTTTACATAGTTTTGTTAAATCAAAATGAAAACGCGCAGTTTCGGGTTCTGTTTTTGTTACAATTATTTTTATCATATCATGACAAATCCAAAAATATCTCCAAATCCAGAAGTGTCCAGAATCCAGAATACAAAATTTCAAATTTTAAATTGTCAGTTGTCATGTCAATGTCAACTATTGTCAATCACGATTCACGGTTATCCACAGAACGACAGAAACATCAGAACCATAGAAATGACAGAACTCATTGCTGCTTGGGCTTTAGGCTATCCGGCAAGAACAGAGTAACCAACTACGAAATAGAGAAAGTTCCTAAATTTCGAATTTCCACTGGTAAGTACAAACTCAAATTCATGCATGAACGTTCATAAAATTGAATTTCTAAGAATTGTTCTAAAATTGTTCTATCCCTCATTCTGCTGCCTCGTTACGAGCAACCCTCAGAAGTCTTCAAGATACTTGTGCGAGGAATGACAGAGCCGCCTTATCTTTTATAATACGTACAGGGTGTTTCAGAGAGTTTGTGGTGACAAAAGCCTAGAGGAGATTCCTTATAACCAAATATGAGGAAAAGTTTCATATGAAGGGTCCGAAAATGTTTCGTTTGCGAGATACAGGGAGTCCAAGTAAAAAAAAGTTTTTTAACAATATCTTGAAAATGTCGTTCAAGTCAAAGTCACCCTGTATGTTTATTTATCGGATTCTCTTTATATATTCAGATAAATAACCCACTGAAAATACAACGTTTCTCCCTCTTGCTTCGTTTTCGAGAAAAACTGATAATACCATAATAATATACCTTTTGGCATATCTCTAAACTCCATAGGGAAAATAATATTTATGAGAACAAAAAAGGAACAAAACTCAATACCCTCTCTAAAATCTATACGGACCGATATCATCATTTTTTTCATATTTCTTTGAGAGAAATTCTCCCTTAGGCTCTTTTGCCACTCCAACTCTGAAACACCTTGTACATGCGCATTTATATAACGTGTGATTTAATATACTTTCTTTGGCCATCAGAAAAAAATCTGCAGTCATTTGGTTCGAACCCATCACGACCAGCAAGCCAACGCGATTAGAATACTATCTCTTCTACCACGTGGCTACCTGACCCCGCTAAATGATAATGCAGTCTCAATATTCAACGTGCATTCAAGAAATCGAACAAAGTCACATAACTTTTTCCGTTTGATCTTGAAAAATCAGCGGGAAAAACTTTCCAAACGGTTACCTACACGCAAAGTTGAAAGTTTGATGTAACAATGTAATAATGTAAAGGCAGATTCCATATAGAGTTTCATTAAAATTCAATGATATTGGGAAATCGATGCATTCTGCGAGGTGTTGAGACGTAAGGGGCTACCAAAATCGCAATCTTCTTCTTTTATTGATGAACTGCCAGAGCCAACTTGATCGAATGCCTGCGTATGTAGGTAGTCTTACTCGCTCTATAATGTGTTTCGCGTTGGCCTAATCTTGAAGACCTGTTGCTTGTTCTATCTCCGCCGAGCATCGCGCGAGAGTGTTTATCCAGAATCCAGATAGACCAGACAGAGGTCCAGAGATATTCTGGCATAGGCACGTACGCATATTGCTAGGTTGCTTTCGGATGATAATCAACAAGTGTATATAGGTGAAAGAAAGTGAGTGGCTGGAAGGTTTGAAAATTCAAAAAATGTATGGAATGTTATTGGAGAGTATCCAGCACTTTGTCCAGGTAAATATAATTAAATTAACACTATTACATTAATGTAGGTGTATTTTTTAATCTTTCTGAAGGGAATCCCTGTTATGTTCGTGGATATATATATGCTCCAAGTAAAATTTGAAATTAAACTCAATCAATTCATAGACCATATATATCCATAGATTTACGGAATAGAGGTTGTTTTTTGAGTAGTACATTTTAAAAAATTGGTACTTTTTTTTCGTTCATTCTCTCAAGATACGAGTGTGGTCAAACTTGTATATACGGACTGTGGTACAGATCTGTGATAGAGAAAAAAGAATTCTTGGCTCCAACCCAAATATGTATTTTTTTAAGTTACTATATCTACAGGACGCATATATATAGGTATGAAGAGTTGTAGGAACGAAATATTTTAATCAATATCACACTGATATCGGAAATACAGTGAGTAGGTAGAGTAATTTTTTTTTCTGCAAACAATATGATGATTTTACAGAAAATAATCTATCAAGATGAGATGGCAGTATACAACCTGTTTCCCATCAGATTGAAGCCATCAAAAACAATCTCATGAAAAAATTAAATGTTTTGGACACAATCAGAAATTTTCAAAGAATTGTTCAATTTCACTTAGAATACAATTGTCATACTATCATTGAACTTTCGGCAAAGTTACCAAAGTCATTGACTTCCGGTGCTTTTGATTTAACCTAAAGCAAATGTTCGTGTTTGGCTATGATTCATAATTTACAAAATTTCCAGGCAAATTTTCAAATGCACACGATATCTTCCGAAATATTTTTTACCATTCTTAATTTTTTTTCGTATTTTCTTTATTACCAACTTTATATTTTATCTCTTCAGTTTTGGAAACAACCCCTCTTTTACTGTTTATCTTCAAAAGTAATGAAATAGTCAAATCAATTAATTCGGCTAAGCAATAGAGAACGTGCAAGGACGTTCACAACCCTCTCCGTTGATTGAATTCAGGGAACTGTTCTGTATCAGATTACTTCCCTATAATTATTTGGCGTATCTCCAAGAATGGAAAGAAACAAAAGTTATATTTTTGTTGGGGAACAGATGAATTAAACTGGTTTCACTGAACTTCGAGAAGTTCCGATTGAAATGAAAGTTACGAAAGTCGTTGTTTTTTCCTTGATTAAAGTTTAATTGATCTTGTCAATGTGATCCATCAAGAGAAAACGTATTTTGTTTTCGGAAGATAACTTATTCATTTATGGGTCGATTTCATTAATTTTGGTCTTGGGGGTCAAAACAGACTTCTCACCTATACTTATAATTGATAAATTTGTTTAAAAAACAATAGCACGTACACATCTAAAGTTGGTAAAACTTTAAAATTTACTGCCACATTTTTCGGGATTTAACAATTTCTTATTTTTGTGACAAATATACCAAAATGATATCTTCATCATAACTATTTTGTGAACAAATCTATCGGTTTCGTTACTAGACTTTGAATTTTCAGGCAATAATTATTGTGTCAGCCACAATTATAAACTCGCTTTCACTGCAATCTTCCATTATTCATCATTTTATTTTTCTTATCTCTTGGAGCACTCGCAAGTGAGTCCCTATAATGTTCGAGATCATCATGCGTCCTAGGGAGAAGAGGTAGGTATTGGAATTTTTGAACTTTTGAAGGTTATAAATTCTTTGGAATACTACCATTGGCATCGAATTCTTAAGCTTTCGTCCTATATATAGATGAACAAGTTTTAGTACAGTTTTGCTTGACATATTTAAAGGTTAGCAACTAAAGAATGTGCTGACTGGGCCTGTCGACAAAAAGCCATGTAAACCTAATATTTACGTCGTTCGTCTAACTGTATTTGCATGCGAAAAAGTAACACTTTGCGCACATGTCAGAAAAAAGAGTAACAATTTCCGTAGCTGGAGTACGGAGAAGAAGTATGGCAACGCACTCTCATCCTCTCAGAGTGCAAACACATCGTTTTCAACACCCACCAGGTGTACTCCGATCACATCATGGGATCGCTGGCCACTTCTTTGGCCACCATCACATCCAAATCTTATGAAAGCTTCATGATTTTCTTCGGAAGATGTTTCGTCAGATTCTTCAGCAACTACGGGTAAGACATAAATCCTGACGAAATCTATGCATCGTATAAATGAATAGGTACCTGAAACTCCCGGGATTATACGATCAAATATTTGTTATTTTTTTTAATTTCGCGCTAGAATTTCGTGTTCGCAACATAGATCCAGATGTAGAATTTGTTCTGTAAAAAAAATTAATAGTTAAAAAAAACGTATCTAGAATTCCGCAAGAGTAACATTTCTTGACAGACGATCAAACATCTCTGTGGAAAAAGAAAACTATTTGTCGCAGGTAGGTGTAGATGGAATTAATACTTTTCAAATACCCTTGACAGTCTCTTCGAAGAAAATCAATTGAATAAATACAACGTGCAATCAACATTGGTGTTAGAAATCCATCAGAGAGTTGTAGGCAACAGTAACTAGTTCCCAGCTGTAGAATTTGTTCTGTCAAAAAAAATTAAATTTTCACATAGTTCTATGTGATATACCACTGCAAATTCATTCTATTAACTTTAAGGTTTTATAAAGGCTGTATGAATACTCTTATGACTTTCTAAAAAATAATTTTATAGTGGTACTATATAGCCGAGTATAAAGCGCTTATGAACCCTGTCTCACGAACTGTGATACAAAAACTTATATCTAGTTGTGTAGGCATTCCATCAAAACATTGTATAAGTGTTTTCAGAACTATATTATAGCAGCGTTTTATCAGTGTTTGAAAAATAGCTTGAAAATACCTTCTAGAAATATGTTATGCTGTGGATTTTAATATTGAATTCTAATGTCTCTGCTTATATTACTTTCGTCCCCTTCAGTGCAATTGACTTTTATCTGTTTTCTGTTTTGCTTTCTGCTTATGTACAGGTATGACGCTACTATCAAAGCAACAGGAAGGTATTTCACCGATTTTTTGGACAGCGTGGACAATATCCATTCTCGGTTCAGAATTTCCTATCCAAAAATGCAGAGTCCTTCTATGTACCTAGCAGAGGTCGATATCAACGGTTGTGTCTTGGTTTATAGAAGTTTGAGACAAGGACTCACATATTACGTGATGGGTAATGTAGTTATTTTTGTAACTAGTGCGCAAAATGCTACTTTGGTGATCGAGAACTGATTAAGTTAAAAAATAGTCGAGTAGACCAAAGGATTTTGCGCACGAGTTGCAAACAAAATTTGTTCTACAAACGTCTAAAAATATAGTTCTAAAGTAGTAATATGCTTAGCTTAATATGAAAGATAGTGTTAAACTGGCTTAAAAGGCCTTTATTATTGTTAAACATTCAGAAATAATGGATTTTTTGAATGTTTGCTCCATTGAGGACCATAAAGTTCAAATACAAAAATCTTATTCAGGGTGTCCGTTTTTCGAGCCCAACCCTGGAGATATCAGTTGTTATAAGAGATACAATTTGAGTCTTTATTTTTTCAAGCGAAAACCAAAAGACCTAGACGTTTCTGACTGGGACATTCTTGAGGCACTTTTTCACAAGGAATCTGAATCTGTCAATGCGCTAACGCTAACCCTGTCATTTGTAGATTTTTTTTTTCGACACAATGCGATGTTATTGGTTCGTTTATTTGGGGTTTTAGGACAGCTCGATGAAATTGCCAATGAGTTTTTCAATTTGAAGTTGGAGACTACGGTGGTGTCAACTCAGAATCATCTGAGCAATGGAAAAAATGCTACTATTGTGAAATTGCGATTGAATTTCGACAATTCTCAATACGTAAGTATGGCCACCTCGACGTAATCGAGGTTTGTTTTCAAAACATATAATAATAATATGTAATCCTAATTAATTTTCCTGTACAAGGGCACAGCTTGTTATTTGGAAAAGATAATTACTTACCTTGATGACGAACATCCCTTTTCGGGAGCGTGTTTTGACAATTGAGTGTAATAATAATCCACCTAATTAGCTCAGTTCTCATTAGTATTCAATTAACGTATAGTCGTATATTCAGAGGGTCTCAAAACGAACCCGACATACGAATGATGCTGTCTGAAACTTGAAAAAAATGAATTATAGTTGGAAAAATTCTCCGAACAACATTGTATATTGTATATGATCGAAGGACAAACTATATCCGACTCCTTTCCCGGAAACATCATTTTATACTATAGTTATCGGCTCTTGATGAGTGTGCAAAGTTTCAATTAATTTAATTCGACATTTTGAAGTGGGTCAGAATCATCCATTTCTTTGGGTGTAACTATTAATACGCGTATTTGGTGCAAGACACTGTCATGTCTCTGGATATAAAACGCATTGTAAACTGTTATTCGGAGAATTAAAGACTAACCTACATTATTTGACATTTTGGAGACGGAACATTTGATATTTTGGTGGTGGAGCATCATCCACCATTTAATTCGATTTAAAAAAAAAATCGCTTAGTACTCTGATCCTTCAATAAATTTGATTTGTGGGATAAGCGTAAGGTATCAGCAAAAAAGCTGTAATTCGGAAAATGTTAGAGATAAATCAATGAATCAAAAAACGAACTGCTCGCGAAAGAAGCCTCTTTCGTATAGGGTGTAAGCACTTTGTATACCATTACTCAATTAACACACAGGGTGAGTCAAAAATTAAGAATAAATCATGGTTCAAGTTATTCCACCACCATCAAGGAGGCTTAGAAAACATAGTCACCTCATTATTTTTTTTTAAAGACAGATGCATTACCTACCAAATAATAATAAAAAAATAAAAATCGGCCTACAATTTTTTGTTTTTTTTTCTTAAGAAGATAGGTCAAATATCAAGTGCGTCACTTTTTTTGGAACTGAGTGTATGTCCCGTTCATCGAACGGCACCTGTGGCAATCACTATCCTGAGCGAAATGATTTGAAAATGCACTTTCCTGAGCGAAAATTTGCACTCGATTTCGCGATATGATAACTAGATAAAAATTAAATCTGAGCCAAATCGACACAGCGTTTTATTTGCTCCTATTATTCCGGGCATATTTCCGTCATGTGATAACGAGTATACCGATAACTATACTTTTTTAACGGCTATAACAGCTAACAATAGTATATTGTTCAACGAGCACGGAATGATGGTGGTTTCCTACGAGAATGAAGTTTTCAGCATGAGCCATAGGCAAATGCTATAATCATTCGAGTAGGAAATTAGTATTCCGTGCAAGTTATACACTATAATTTTTCTACGGCTATAATAGATAACATCCGTATTTTCGATTTCTTCGTCTTGTAGCCATCTGATTTCCTATCAAGTAATGTTCATCTATCAGACAGAGCTGTCATTGCTTGAAATTTGATATTCCATGGGAGATAAGTTTTTTTTAAAATAATAACACAATGGAGTCATTGTGATATCAGATACGGAAATAAAATGAATGACATACCAAGTACCTCATTGATGTATCGAACACAGTAAAACAAGAGCAATTTGTGTTATAGCCGTAGAAATAGTTATTTATTATACAAGGGATTTTAGCTCGCTACGCGTCGGGAGACAAAAAACCGTGAGCTAAAATTTAATATTTTTCCCGTGTATAATACACTGTTTTTTACTGTGACAGAAGGAAGGATATAGACAGGGTGATTCATGAGGAACTGTACATGCTCCAACTACGAATAGAGGCAGCTGGGGGGAATACCAAGTGACCATCAGAAAGTGTCTCCGCCTCTTCTAAAATGATCTATAGGGTGATTTAAGGGATATGGCCAAAACATCTTTCAATCATAACTTTCCAACAGTTCTTTCGATTCTTTTCATTTTTTCATGGATTATTATGCTGTCACTCGGCAATCAACTGACGTATTCAGAATCGTGAAAATCCAGGACCGGTCTTGAGAAATTCTGCCAATTTGGTTCATATAAAAAATTTCACTCTGTACGAGGTTTTAGTAAACTGTGATATGGAATTTATAAAGTTGATGAACAGGCAACCAAAATGAAGTATTTCAAATTTTCCTCACAATTTCATTGAATTTCTTAGAAAATGATTAATTTAAACTACACACGAAACTTGGGCAACAAATGTATTAATTTCAAAATTAATACTTCGCAATGCATGAATTTCACGAATAAAAGTAAGGGTAAAATTATTCCTGATTCTTGTTTGTCAACTCCGAACATTTCATGTCACAGTTTATTAAAATCATATACAGGGTGCAATTTTTGGTGACTATTACCATGTACCAAAAATTTACTGAATCCAACCCTGGATATAGATGAATGTTGATTTTCAGTGAACTGAAGAATAGAAAATGATGTTATTCTTGCTTCTATTCGTGAAATTCTAGGGGTGCGAAGTATTCATTTTCAAATTAATACATTTGTTGCGAAAGTTTCACGTGTAGTGAAAATTGATCGTACTCTAAGAAATTCTGTGAAACTCTGAGGAAAATTTGAAATACTTAATTTTGGTTGCCAGTTCATCAACTTTGACAATTCCATATCACAGGTTACTAAAACCATATACAGGGTGTAATTTTTGGTGATTATTACTCTCTACTAAAAAATTACTGAATCCAACCCTGGAAATAGAAGAATGTTGATTATTGTTGAGCTGAAGAATTGAGAATGATATTATCCCTACTTTCATTCGTGAAATTCATGCGTTGCGAAGTATTAATTTTCAAATTAATACATTTATTGCCCAAGTTTCGTGTGTAGTTTAAATTAATCATTTTTTAATAAATTCAATGAAATTGTGAGGAAAATTTGAAATGCTTCATTTTAGTTGCCTGTTCATCAACTTCAGAAATTCCATATCACAGTTTACTAAAACCTCATACAGGGTGAAATTTTTTATATGGACCAAATTGGCAGAATTTCTCAAGACCGGTCCTTGATTTTCACGATTCTGAATACGTCAGTTGATTGCTGAGTGACAGCATGATAATCCATGAAAAAATGAAAGAAATCGAAAGAACTGTTGGAAAGTTATGATTGAAAGAAGTTTTTGCCATATCTCATTAATCATGCACCCTATAGATTATTTTAGAAGAGGCGGAGACACTTTCTGATGGTCATTTGGTATTCCCCTCAGATGCCTCTATTCGTAGTAGGAGCATGTACAGTTCCTCATGACTCACCCTGTATATCCGGGAAAAAAGTACTCACTTTTTTCCCGTCACCGAAAAAAAGAATTTTTTGATTTCTTCGGCATGTAACCATTTGATTTTCTCTTACGTAATGCTCATCTATCAGAAATTCAACATTGCATGAGAGATGAGATTTTGTGAAATGAATCATTGTGATATCAGATACGGAAATGAAATTGATTTGTCGAACAGAGTGATAAAACAAAAGCAATTTTGTGTTACAGCCGTAGAAAAATAGAAGTATACCTAACAAGTGCGGAAAGTTCAGCGATCTGAAATCGCGGAAAATTTACTTTACGCACGTGTAAGGTACACTATTTTTTCTACCAGCGTGCGGAAAAAACCCAAATTCCTCTTTTCCGCACTCATTCCATTTCAGCGTTGACAGTTTTTTCCGCACTGTTGCGGAAAAGTGACTCTTTCAACGCTGAAAGTAGTGCAGAAAAGTGGACATTTCCGCACAGCGTGGTGATGATGAATATTTTGCAGATGGCTTCCAGACAGAATGAAGCGGCGAGCATAGATCGCCATCTGGCACCTTTTTCATGCGATTTGCTGTTTGAGCTGTTCCCCTTTGCTGTACTTTTCAACCCTGTAATGACTATCGTTGGATGTGGGGGGAAATTGGTGGAGGTGGCAGGGGGCAAGGAAAAACTGCTGGGGAAATATGTGACGACGTATTTCAAATTGAGGCGGCCCAAAGGGATTTGCTTCAGTTGGAAAAACGTGAGGAAAATGTAGACGATTTTCCGGATGTCAAGAGAACACAACAACATACCTATCAGTATTTCTTCATAGAACATCGAAAAAAAAATCTATGATGCAAACTTCTTACAAAAGTTTGTGTGTCAAAATTCAGGCACAGCCACACAACTTCAATATGATTTTTTTTTCTCCATGATGATAGGTGGTGGGTTACTTATAGTGAATTGCGTTATATGGGAAAAACTTTTGATAATAATTCATTTTGAAATTATTCAACTTAGGCGTTTAGTTTTGTATTGAAGAGCATAAAAAAATGCCTATATACTCGGTTGGGGTCACGTAACTTTCACTACAAGTTCAAATTTATACATTTTTATAGGAACAGAATTTTCGAAGAGAAATATTTTGTATTTCTAAGTTGAGAACGGGACCAGATTCGTTCCCAAAATGTCCGAAGATAAGTACAAATTCAATAATTTTTCAATATATCCAAGATTGGTGGAACTGATGATTATTTCTACCCATCTTGAATATATCTATACAGGGTGTTCCTTGAATACATGCTAATATTTGAGGTTCTTTGACTCATTTTAAGAAGAAAACACTATATGAACATATGTCCTAAAAGTATTAACTTTTGAGATACAGGCTGATGAAGTTTAGAAAAATATTCAGTTTCTTCATAATAACTGAGACAATATTATACAGGGTGTTTCACAGGTAAAAGGAAATATTTCAATGGTAGGTAGGGGTCACCAAGGTGGATCTGAAAATACCATATTCGATAGGTCTTAGAGTCTTCATAACGGAGATACAGGGCGATTTATCGATTTCGAATAATTATTCATTCGTCTATATGTATTGACCTACCCAGTATATTTTTCCGAAATTTGGTATGGAGCTTACACTTGGGACGTTGAATTCATTCACCTATCGGACGAAGTGAAAATCCAGGTTCGGCTTCACGAAAAATTTACATTTATTCGAAATATTAAAATAACACACTGTATGTAATAATTGACAGAGTTCATCGAAGGAATAGTGAGGAAGAGGAAAAACTGAACTGGATTTGATGCTTTTTGTTTTCCCGCCACCAATTCTCATCGTAACAATCATAAACAGAAAGCTGATAGTATGTCAATTTGAATAGTATTGAAATTATGAAACCACTTTCAATTATGATTATTTGATATATTTTTGTCAGAAAATCACTCGAAAGAACTTACTAAGTCTCACAGTTTTTAAAACGGAGATACAGGGTGAATTATCGGTTTTGAATAATTATTCACTCGTCCATAAGAATAAAACTACCCAGTAACATTTTCTCAAATTTGGTATGTAGCTTACTTGGGACGATGGATTCATTAATCTATCAGGCGGAATGGAAATAATACCAAATAATTATAATTCGATAATTCACCCTGTATCTCTGTTATAAAGACTATGAGACTTTTCCTGAAGCTGAACCTGTATTTCCATTCTGCCTGATAGGTCAATAAATCCATCGTCCCAAGTAAGCTCAATACCAAATCTGAGAATTTATTACTGCGATGGGTAGTTTAATACTTATGGACGAGTGAATAATTATTCGAAACCGCTAATTCACCCCTGTATCTCAGTTATAAAGACTGTGAGACTCAGTAAGTTCTTTCGAACGATCATTCAACAAGAATATATCAATTAATCATAATTGAAAGTGGTTTCATAATTTTAATACTTTTGGAATTGACATACTTTTAGCTTCCTGTTTATGATTGTTACGATGAGAATTGGTGGCGGGAAAACAAAAAGCATCAAATCCAGTTCAGTTTTTCCTCCTCTTCACGATACCTTTGATAAACTCTGTGAATTATTACATACAGTGTGTTATTTTGATATTTCGAATAAATGTAAATTTTTCCTGAAGCCGAACCTGGATTTTTACTCCGCTCGATAGGTGAATGAATTCAACGTCCCAAGTATAAGCTCCATACCAAATTTCAGAAAAATATACTGGGTAGTTCAATACTTATAGACGAATGAATAATTATTCGAAATCGATACATCGCCCTGTATCTCCGTTATGAAGACTCTAAGACCTATCAAAATGGTATTTTCAGAACCACCTTGGTGACCCCTATGTACCATTGAAATATTTCCCTTAATCTGTGAAACACCCTGTATACATCTTCATGAAATTTGGTTCACGTCTTTTATGCATCAAGCTGCATTTTATGATGTACACAAATTTTCATTTCCTTTACCAGTCTCACCGTTACGGGAATATAATTGTTTATATTTTACTCAAAAGTGAGCACGACGGAAAATTTTCAAAGTTCGTACAATGCTATGAAAGGCTATTCAATTATGTACAAAAAAAGTTCCTCTTGTTGATACTCGATAGAACGTTACGTTATAGAAAAAACAAGAACCAGATCTCAAATTTTGATGTCTGAGTACTCAATTCAGGACATCCATTACTGGATAACCACCGTATGTAACATTTTGGAATTTTGTTACCGATTGAGTCACATAGCAGACTGAGTTTTGCCATTAGGAAAAGATACAGGGTGTACAAAAAAGTATCTATGCATATTTTCACCCTCTGTATCTTACGAGATACACGTTCATATAAAGTTCAATTCTTGAAATGGTTCGAATAATCGGGGCTCTCAATGAAACTTTCAAATTTTAGGCAAATGGTGTTTTAATTCGGGGTATAGACGACATGTAGTGAAAGTCACGTCCGAGTTGGCCATTTTCCATTATCTTCAAAGCAAAACTCAACGCTCAAAGCGTATTTCGATTGCAACACGAACATTTCTAGGCATTCTATTTGAAATCTGTGATGTTCGAAATCGAAGTGCTCAGAGTGGAACTGATGAAGTCCAGAGCGGACGAAACAGGAAAAAACGAGGAGAAAGCGGATTGCGATTGTTTGGGGGACGATTTGAGCAATGGCGGCAACAGAGACATCGAAATCGACGGAAAAAGCATTTCCCCTTATACGAGCAGAAGAGACAGCCAACCCGGCTTGAGGAATATCCTGTTGAAGGGCCAGATGTTGTATCTGAAGGATATCAACGGGATCATTTTCCTCTGCAGTCCAGTGTTTGTATTAATTCAGTTTTCTCAATAAGTATGAGGTCAAAATTCATATAAAATATAGCAATGTTCCTAAGTCGTTTTTTTTCGGAGATATTCGCACTCGAAAGTGAACGTCTTAAAAGGATTTTTATAGTGGGTGATCTATATAAGAATGCAAGGAATAAGTGAGTGCCTAGACACCACCGAATGATGTTGAGATTATTTTGGATCAAAGCAAAATTCGAGAAAAAAAATGAGAACTAAAATACCTGTCTATATTGGGACAACATCGCATATCTCCTACCCCCTATCAGACTTGGGACTGATGACAGCTAAGCTGGTGGGGATAGAAGTGACTCATGGTTTCAGTCACTTTCGAAAATAGAAAACATATATTGAATTTTTCCATATCAAAACACAACACACCACACACACACATACAAGTCAAAGAAACTGTTCGAATGCTGATGAATACCATCACACTCAATGCAATGTTTCAAACGGAGAATAAATTCTCCTCAACAAATATTCATTGGAAACCATCGCTGGTTGGTTGAATGGATGTGGGTTTTTCTGAATCTATTTCTCGAATTAAAGATTTCGTCTCTTTTGACGATGTGAAAGATATCTTCCAGCTCGAGGACTTCTTTTCTCAGGTGGTATGGGAAGAGAAGATTTTCTTGTATAATACGCAAAAAAAACATATCGACAACGATAGGACGATTTACCGCACATTTTCGATACACTCCCAAAAATATGTAGGTACTGCACCATAAGTCAGTATATCAATCACAATATTCCTGTCAATTAAAATCTGCCATATCGACACTATTTCGGACTAGATTTCTGATAAACACGAAATATTTAAGGCGGTCTGAACCCCCCCAACCCGCTCTCATTTCACATTTGACTGACAGGTGACTGTTGTAGGTGGGCTGGATGGCTATAGGTAAACCCCTGCTTTTTTGTGTGTGAATATCTCAGAGAGCAACCGACATTTTGATCAGAACTCTTGGTATTACTTTCACCTGCACACTCGTTTCTGAGTTTCGTCCCTGTATATATTTACTGGTTTTTAGGGTGAATGACATAACCGAACTACCGGACCAAGGCCTGTATTTGAACGATCTGAATCCTCACGGTCTTAGCAAGGAGATGGTTTTGGCAGGATGGCAAAACAGCTCCAGGTGATTTGCTACTATAACCCAAAATGACATGTGACATATAAACGAATATTTTTACTCATTGTCTGCTAAATGTGGAGAAAAAATCTAGTGAGCTATAACTACTGGTCTGCTCTATGCTCAGTTGAGTGTATGACCACCAGAGGATGTTACCGTATCGGACGATATGATCTTCGCTTTTTTGTAAAAAATTGTCAAAATTTGTGGTTATGTATTGTCAAGAGCTGTCGTGCCATCATGACTTGTTTGGTATGTTTTCTTAAAAAAAATTTTCTTTTTCAATTATCATTGTTCTAATGTTCCTTTCGTTTATAGATATAGTTTTGGGAAGTTCTCCCAGTATTATAGTAGTTTTATTCTGATTGATTATTCGGTACAAACCCTGTCTCTCAATAATTGTGCCTACCAGAAAATGCGAAACCGTCTCAATTCATGGATTTCCAAGTGATGATATTTCTTCACGACATAAGTAGATACTTTTGATATTGAGTGTTAAGACTCATTACCAGAGTAAGATAACAGAGCCCTGATCAAAAGCTAATAATCGATACTACGACTGATTCTACCTCATTCAATTTAGGTGTTGAACGTTACGAAATTGGGTACTATTGTAGTGTCTGTAGCAGCCATTTCGTGATACTGAACTCAAACTCACTGAACAAACTATACGCCGACGGCCGCGACTGCTGAGAGCTGCTCAACTCGTTTACGATTTTCAAGGTTATGTAGGTTTGACAGGAGAGTAATTGGAATAAGTGTTTCCTCGAGTTGACCGTATGGCGGCACTACTGTATCGGCCACAGAAACCTGTAGGTGATTTCTCTCATTGTTTGAGCAGACCAGATACTAACTAGATTTGTATCTATATATTTAGCAGACAATGTTTTTACTCATCTGATTCTGGCTGAGATTGTTAAAATGGTACCTCGCCTTGGTTGAAGCTCTTAGCATATAAATGAAAACGGTTGACCAACATTTTTCTAATACAGGTAGGTATAGCAAAAACTAGGAAAATTATTGTGGGTGTGTTCATGCCACAAACGTTGACTTAAATCCTAAAATATTCTGAAGAACATCAACAATTACGCCAGAAAAACATGGTAAAAAGGAGAGCTGGATTATTGTTCAATGCATACCTAGTGATTTGAAAAATTCTTATTTGATTCAAGATTCAATTCCATTATTAATTATTGATAAGTTACATTTGTTTTCCAAATAATATTAAAAGTGGTTTCTCAATGGCAGTTAACAGGCATAAATGACATATTTTTACTGCCTAGACAGAAATATAGTTTGTTTCTATATGCAACGACGTACTACCTTCCAAGTAATAATTTCAATCAAATATGGTTATCAAAATTGACAATAACTTTGGGTGAAGACAAAATGACGGATTTATTTGGCGTGAAATTGGAACGAATTTGGAGAAAAAAATATATGTTTCACATGACAGAAAAGCCAGCGGCATTAAATCTTGTGCGGTGCCTACACCATTTCTGCCTGTTAGGTGTCATTAAAACGCTACTTTTAATGTAATTTGCAGAAAAATAACTATTTTGGAAGTAATTATATAAATACATATACAATTTTACATTTTTCAACGAGCTGGTATATGCAAACCCATTTAAAAACCAAGCCAAAGTCCGCCCTGAAACTGCGTCAATGGACTTCCCCGTTCTTTTCCCTAACAAAAGCGAATCAATCACTAATCCCCATTAATCTCCTCATCTCTCAAGGTTACAGCTGATCTTCGATAAAGCCGAACAGAGGGCCAGCGAACTGGAAAACAATTACAGCCTGTTGAACACTTGGAAACGTCGAGGGGATGATTTGCTCTATTCGATGATGCCGAGAGCAGTGGCGGACCGTCTGAGGGCCGGTCAAAGCCCTCTCAGTACTTGCGAGGTAAATTCCATCCTCGATTATTAACACTAACGAGATGAACCATCCTTGTGAGAGAAATGAAGCCAGTAATTCATTTCAGTAGGTGGCGGTATCTATGAGTGATATTTTCATTCAAAAGCCTTCAGCATATCGAAGTTAGTGATTTTCCTGCTCAAAAACATCCTGTATGGATCTTGATGAATTTGAAACCATTTCGAGAAAACACTTCAGGCTTCATGTTTTTGCAGTCAGAAAAAAATTGAAGAAATTATCCTATACTAACGGGGCGACCTCAAACCTTTCTCTTTCAGATATCATCGTGTAGGTCATGATTCCAGAAAGGTGGAGAAACCTTAGAAAATACTCAATTGACTGAGCAATCCGAATCCCAAAAAAAAAAACAAAAATCGCTTGATCCCATCCAAAGTTATTACGGTTCGAAAACAAACAAAATATTCGCTTGTGTCACTTCAAATGTGGGGCAGTTTAGTTCAGCAACTTGCAGATAGATGGACTCGTGCAGATTCCGATAGTATAGACCAAGAATCAAGGCCAAATTCAGCTTCAACATTTCACATGGAGGTGGATCATCTTATTGTTAGTGTAATCAAGGGTATCGTTTAGATCTGTCCAATAGTAGAACAATTCATCCGTAGCATAACACTGTGCTCTCTAGCTTATTTAACTTATATCCCATATTTTCTGTATTCAACTGGCTGTCCTTTGCGCCGCTGAACTTTTTGTTTATACGGTTAATAACTCTTCCAAGAACACTTCGCGTTAAGTGTCAGAATCAGTCAAATACATATAACACTGGATCGTGGAATTCAGATAGATTTCCTATAGTTTAGTGAATTTTAAACACTTTTATCAATAGTGAATAATGTATTCAAGGTCCATAACACACTACCCTAGTTTCCATTGTAATAGGTAACTACACTAATTATTCAACGTCTTTTATATCGCTCAGTTGATGTGGTACTGTTTGTCTTCAACTGATGACTGTCTTCTGCGCCGCTAAACTTTTATTTATACGTTTAACATCCCTCACAGATACATTCGTTCGAAGACAAAAATAATATAAGGACACTTCTCGAATATTGGATCAGAGCAAATTTCATAATAGTAGTGAGATGTTTTGATGTTATACTGTGTGTTCTCATTCTAGTCGTTCGATGCAGTCACAGTGATGTTTTGCGAATTAGTTGGATTCAATTCCTCTACAGTGCAAGATGCCATGGAACTGGTGAGCACTATGAATGCAGTCTATTCCTGTTTCGACTCACTTGTGGACACTTTCAATGTATACAAGGTATGAATGAAGTTTTTTTTTGTGTATGGTACAATTTCGCAAATCTTGCATATTATACAATATCGATAGAAACTGAGCTGATCACGAACGGAACCATAAACATAATGTGAACGAATTTTCAAATAAAAAAAATATATAATAAATTAAAGATAATTGATATTTTTTTTGAAATTCCTTTTGGTTGTTTTAGGTAGAGACTGTTGGCCAGATTTACATGGCCGTCTCTGGCGCACCAGAAAGACAAAAAAAACATGCCCAAAATATCGCCAACGTCTCTCTATGCATGGTGAAACATGTGAGACAACTACAAGTCCCATCTGGTACCAAAGTAGATGTCAGAATAGGTATCAAATTGTCAATTTTCTTTTTCTTAACGCTGGTGCGCAAAGTGTCACTTTTCTCTGTAGTGTTAGGAAATGGCATTTTCTGCAATGGAGCGATAAACTGTTACTTTGCGCTGGTGATACAAAAACACGATGTTTTATGAGTTTTTTTTAGGAGTTCATTCAGGTCCAGTAGTGGCTGGAGTTGTGGGCATTAAAGTTCCGAGGTATTGTTTTTTCGGGGATACAGTGAATACAGCCTCAAGAATGCAGTCTTCCAGTGAGGTATAATATATTCGACAAAAAACACATTATAGGTTCTTGTTTGACGAGCACCGAATAATGATAGTCATTTCCCATGAGTGGGAAATAAGAGCATCCCGAGCGAGTTATGCACTATACTTTTTCTACGGATTCAACATTTATAATTATCAATATTTCACAATATAAATAATATGACATTCAAATTTGATGTCATTCAGAATTTACGCTCAATTATACTTAATATTCTCAGGAGTTTTGAAATGAAAATTAAATCATTTATAATATCCACACATACATTATTAAAGTGAAATCATCATCATGGGTAAAAACTATAACGATGAAATTTAAATACATATACAATGTACCTCATTGTTTGATCCAGAACAGTTGAGAAATATCGCAGCTTTGTGTTATTGCCGTGGAAAAAATCTACTGTTATTTTTGTCTTATATAATTATGTACTACCTTTTTTTTAGCTTGGTATGGTACATATTTCAGAATCTACGAAAAAGTTACTTCCCAAAGAGCAATACATTCTGAGGAATAGAGGAAAAGTCAAGTTAAAAGTACTGAGTGAAAATCTAAACATTCGAATACATTATAGGTATCTATGTTTTTTTTTCTTTTAGGGAAAAGGTGATGTCAATACTTACTGGATATTCGAAAATATTTACAATGATGAGGAATATGTGGAAACTTATTGAATATTATTATTAATGGTATATTATTATGTATATTGCCTAAAAGTATTATATATTCATTGTTGAAATAAAATGAAATTAGCTAAATTTGAAATTTTTGTATGTTTATACAGGATGTATCTAATGCCCTTACTTACTTCGTTTTTTGAGATACAGGATGTTGGAAGTATTAATTGTTTTAATAACCCGACCCCCCCTGTATAAGCCTTCATGGTGCCAAAATTCAGTATGGGTGGAGACTAACTAGGAAGCCCCAAAATTTCAGAATGATTCTAATCGGAGTTATTGAGTAATCTCAATGGAAGTCTTGAAAACACCTGCATTAAAATTCGGAGTGAAATCGAATTTTTATTGTTTCCTCAGAAACTAAGCTAGATACGAAAATCACACAGAGGATAAAAAAGTTGTTATTTCAATAGTTCAATCTAATAAAAATATGAAACTCAGAAAAACCAGTGATGTACAGGGTGCGCCTCTTAAAATGGAACCCCCCCTTAACTCTTTTGTTTTCGGAGGTATGACAAAATGTTGAAGGAAAAAATTGTTTGAAACGACCCAAACTTTTATTTCGTGAAAATGTTTCATATACAGGGGCATTCGTTTTTCCAGAAAGGACATCAACTTCGATTTTTTCAATGGAACACCCTATATATTTTCCGATATGTCGATAGAGCTTACTCTTCTGATTCCAAAAATATATATGAGTTGCATATCCGGATTGGAAATAATTGAGTTATTGATGATCAAAGTTGACCAAAATACCGCTTTATGAACCTTCACTTCATAGGTAATATCATATGTAATGTAAGTTGAACATGGTGGGCTTTGAGATAATGTTTATGAATTATTTGAGCTCCATGTTTATTATGAAATTGAAAACGTTCGATTTCTATAGAAAAAAAAAGGGTTACAGTTTGAATGAAAGATGCGAAATTTTGGAAATATACATTTCCTGCAACTCATATATATTTTTGGAAAATATATAGGGTATTCCATTGAAAAAATCAAAGTTGATGTTCTTTCTGGAAAAACGAATGACCCTGTATATGGAACAACTTCACGAAATAAGAGTTTTGGTCGTTTCAAACAACTTTTTTATTCAACATTTTTTCATATCTCCGAAAACAAAAGAGTTAAGGTGGGTTCCATTTTAAGAGGCGCACCCTGTACAATGAAATTCATCATGAATATCGATAAATTCACCCACTGTGACGCCACTGGAAATATTATTTTGAATCTAATTGCACTAGAAGAAGTTCCATATGACATTCAACAAAACCACAATGTTTTATTGAAATAGAGATGAAAAGACAATTGAGAAATGAATAGGAACGAGATTTTTTATGGAAATATTAATACTCTGTAAATCACAAGGAATCAATGCTTCATGTAAATCAATAAAATCGTTTCCATCCAAATACCACCTGAGAAAAGAACAAGTACTCAAATCGGAAGACCTTCCACGTCGTCAAAGGGTACGTAATCTATACAATCAATCCATTTTTGAGGGTTTCACTTCTATTTCTTCCGTCCAGTTCTTCATTAGTACCTGCACTCTGAGGGTAATTGAGAAAAATCCCATAAACTGACTTTGAGATTTTCAAATAAACAAGAAAGTTAGAGGGGAGAAATTTATGGATCGCCCTGTACAACGAGTCTCAGAGGGTTTCACCATAACCTACTAATTTAATCTATAATTGATCTTGTCAATTAACGAGGAAAAAGCCCTTAGCTCGCATGCTAGACATTAATCCGATAGACTTTATCTCTTTAACAACTCCCTTGATCAACCCTAAAATCCACTTGACGTGATCCCACTAACTAAAACCATATTCTTAGCTAATGCTGATTCGCTCGGAACTCTTTGTGATAGCACGAAAAGCGAGTGCAAACACAGGTTAATCTGTGGACAGGTAAAAGTACTCTGATAAGCAGAAAAATTGGATACTAAAATACTATTCCATCATGTACGGCATGTTACTAGAGAGTGTGCAGCATTTTTTGCAGGTAAAACAATTTTTTTTTAGTGTCATTACATTACATACATCATATACAGGATTGGGTAATAGTAAACGGTTGAAAATAGCCAGGGAAAAATATTCACGTCACGGTTCTATACATGACATGGACGAAAAATATACAGGGTGTTCTATTCGAAAACCTCGAGAAAAATCATTTCAAAATGTTTTCTCTAGTTCTATAATGACGACGATAGTGATTTTTTTATTATTATTCGAACAATAAAAAAACCCTTCAGGTGATTGAGACATAGTCAATAATATTGAAGAAAAGTACGAGTTAACTGAGATGCTTGAAAAATGTGCCATTTGGGCATTCTTTTTGAAAAAATTTCCTTCGACTCTAGATTTTTTTCATTACACTCTGTTTATACGGCAATAATAAGTCCTCCACTCTATATTGCCAAACTCACATTCCCCCACCCTGTATAATAGGTCTTTCGTTTTGAACAGTTCCATACTGAAAATGAGGAACGTTTTTTTTTACTACTCCTGATCTCCAAATTTTATTCGATTGAATTTGTTTATTGGTTTTGAATCTTTTAAAGGTCCTTTCTCTACAATTTGACGTTGAATGTTCTCGCAAATATTTCAATATCTTTTATTTTCGCCATGTACCTATCACATGATCTTCCCATTTTTAATAATAAAACTAAAATTTTTCCTCTTATGCGATGATCCAGTCTATTTTTTCATGATTATTTCACTTAGTTGGCGGTGCACCTACACAAAATGTTTTATGTGTTTGACAGTTGATCGATTGCATCAATAATTTTTCTTCTTCATTTGTGTGTTGATTGAAATTGCATATTAACAACATATCGACTTTTTCGTTTCTTGAATACATTTATTTAGGTTGGTTTACTAGATCTGGTAACATATCTTAGGTTAGGTTACTAGATCTAGTAACATATCTTAGGTTAGGTTACTAGATCTGGTAACATATCCTAGGTTGGGTTACTAGATCTGGTAACATATCTTAGGTTGGGTTACCAGATCTGGTAACATATCTTAGGTTGGGTTACTAAATCTGGTAACATATCTTAGGTTAGGTTACTAGATCTGGTAACATATCTTAGGTTAGGTTACTAGATCTAGTAACATATCTTAGGTTAGGTTACTAGATCTGGTAACATATCTTAGGTTGGGTTACTAGATCTGGTAACATATCTTAGGTTGGGTTACTAGATCTGGTAACATATCTTAGGTTGGGTTACCAGATCTGGTAACATATCTTAGGTTGGGTTACTAGATCTGGTAACATATCTTAGGTTGGGTTACTAGATCTGGTAACATATCTTAGGTTGGGTTACTAGATCTGGTAAAATATCTTAGGTTAGGTTCGTTTCTTGAATACATTTTCCGTCTCTATTGATAATATGCAATTTTAATCAACACACAAATGAAGAAGAAAAATTATTGATGCAATCGATTAACTGTCAAACACATCAAACATTTTGTGTAGGTACACCGCCTACTAAGTGAAATAATTATGAAAAAATAGACTCCTGATCTCCAAATTTTATTCGATTGAATTTGTTTATTGGTTTCGAATCTTTTAATGGTCCTTTCTCTACAATTTGACGTTGAATGTTCTTGCAATATTTCAATATCACCCTTCATATACAATACTGAACATATTGGTAAGTTATATTTTTGTATCATAATACATCATATTATTCTATTCGATTTGAGAGATAATGTCAATTCGACTCAATTCTCAATTTCAGAGGATTTTGATTTTTCATGCTCTCTTTTTGGATATTCAACAGATATAATGCAATGTTCGGCGTGGCAAATAGCCAGGAAAGTAGTTGTTTTTTGTTGAATATTCAGAATGATATATTCCTTTTCAATTCATATACAGAAGTTGAAACTGTTCAAAGCTGAAAGAAATTTTCAGGTTTTTCTTCAATTTGGATTGCTGAAATTTTTCGATAATTTCAGCTAGAGTATGGAGACGACTTTTGGGAAGAGGTGAGAAGGGTGGCTAATTGCGAACACAAAGTGTTCAACACCCACCAAACCTACCCCGATAATATCTTGGGATCTTTGGCAGCTGCTTGCGCCACTATCACCAACGCCTCCTATGATAGTTTCATGAACTTCTTCGGGAGATGTTTCGTCAGATACTTCTCCAAATTAGGGTAAAAAATTACTCTTCAAAAAATATACCCCAAACACTCGATTCATCTTTTTATATCTATTTATCAAGTATATCGGAAGTGAGAAAAATGTTCTGTGAAACTTCTGACTATGATTTTTCGTGTTTGCCCAATATATTTCAGGTTACACTCATCCCAACCCATTTCCTAAATACCTGACATATTTATTATCAATTCGGCGGTTACATAAAAGACTATTCCATGCAATTTTCTTGTAACTTATGGGTTAAATGGCTCAAAATGATTCATCACAAATTTCTCATCAACTTTGAAGTTAATTTCAAGGTGGCGAAATATATTATTGTGGTATTTTGGGTATATTTTTGTAATGCCCAAAACCTACTTTTGGGTTGTGTTTCAGGTATGACATAACGGTGGAAGCTACAGGGCGATATTTCACCGATTTCTTGGAGAGTGTGGACAATATACATTCACAATTTCGATTCACGTATCCGAAAATGCAAAGTCCTTCCATGTATTTGACCAACATTGACTCAAAAGGTTGCGTTCTGGTCTACAGAAGTGGCAGACAAGGATTCACCCAGTACATTATGGGTAAAAATTACTAAAACTAAAACACTTTCTGGCGTTTTTTAAAAAAGCGTTAAAGTGAACCAGCGTTTATAGCAGATGTGGTCTAATTCGCAATTTGAATTAATTTTCGCCACATTATTTATTGTGGTTTTTCACCTATACTGGGTGTTTTCAAATGATATAGTCAGAATGAATCGTTTCACCAGAAATCTGCAAAATAATGGAGCACAGGTATATCCACAAAAATTGTTCGAAAACATGTCAATATAGTTATTATAAATGTCCACTATCATTCAATAAATCCACAGAAAAAATAATTCAGAAATGATTACTACCTATACTATACAAACTGATAGA